AATCGTTTGCAATGGCGAAGGTGCATTCACTCTTTGTGTTCTACCAAATTCTAATCTTCTGAATTCCTCATGCCTCTATTTTTATCTCTTTCCAAATTTATTTCACTGTACTATTCTCCTTCAATAATTTCTTCAAACCCTAATCTTTTGGATTTCTGATTGTACTCCTACTACTTCTACCAATATGGGATTTGAATCGACAACTGCATCTCTGTGCTAATGTGGTATGGCAACTCGAACTGATGTACGTACGTACGAAGTTCTACGTTGTAACTGACTGACTGACTGACAAGTTAATTTCACTACTAAATGTCATACCGTGTAATATTCTATACTCAAAATAAAATTAATCCTAGAAATCGACATCAGTTACTCCGCAGTCACCTGTGTACATATGACGACTTCCAGTAAATTTCATGAAATAAACATAATCTTTTATACTACAGCTACAAATTACTTATTGTCTCAGAGCAAATAATATTGTTTGAATCCAAAGATGAAATTAGGTGAAGAGGGATTCGAACTTACAATTCAGTGACTAAATGTTGTACGCTTGATTTACAGATTCACCACGAAAAAAATCAATTGCGAGAACTTTACAAGACATACATATGTATTTACACAATCTATCTACAAACATTTTACTCATAATGAGCTATATACAATAATAGTCCCATTTGATTGAACACCTATGATACTGTCACATCCATTTGAAACATACTGATTCGGTATCCAAACAACATCAGTGATCATACATTTTGGTGAGCTTCGAAATCCTGGTAACTTCATTGGTGTCATTAAATGATAGGATGAATCAATCTTATGAACAGTAGACCATATAACTGGACTAGAAGATGACCATGAACCACTAGCCAATAAATTACCGGATGGATTATAAGCTATACCAAGAGGATGGGCTTGTATCTATAAGAATGTTAATGAATCAAAACACTTTAAATATGAAGACAAAGGAACATTTTAACTAGGCAAAGTTATTCAAAGATACTATGATACGAAAAATAGCTTATCCTTTTGATAAATTTGGATAATTCAATGAGAAGAAAATGAATATTACAATTATGTGATATTTTGATGGAGTTTTGTTCACTGAGTTGGATGGTTTGGTCGTGGAGCTTTCATTGTCCTTCTCAACAACATCATCAGCACGAAAGTCAGGTAGAATTGAAGTGTTCGAATTTCTCCACATGTGATTCACATCGAGGTGCACAGGACAAGCTGTGAATCACATGAGGAGAAATTCAAACACTTCACTTCTACCTGAAATTTGTGCTGATGATGTCATTGAGAAGGACAATGAAAGCTCCACGACCAAACCATCCAGCTCAGTGAACAAAACTCCATCAAAATCACCCACTTGAGCTACAAATCTTCTCCACCATCTCAAAATTATGTGATATAGTAACGTAGTGAACAAGAACACCAGTGCAGAGAATCAAATTATATAATCGCTTAGTAAAATCTGGGAACCATACAGTAATTTCTTCGTTTGAAAAATGTCAATCAATTGCCTTGGACTTCATTATTCCTTGACTTCCATACCAACTGCTTTCTGTTCCTGTTCTATCCTCTTCAATCTTCTGCTACTAGACATTCTATTTCTAATTAGTGTTATATACTACTTAAGTCGATATAAGTAGCATACATTACACTTACATTAAATACACATCTTGATAATATTGATTCATCATTCATAGTGATGTGATTTTCATTGTTTACACTCTATTCTATTTGTTACTTTTATTTTCGAATACATCAAATTGATCCTTATTTTTCAAAATGTACTGCACTAATTTGTATTATATAAGTCACGTTTTTACTGACTAGTTCTAGTCAATAGAAACCAATCAAAAATTAGTTCGTTTAACTAATCTATTTGAATATAATTATCTTCATTAGATGAATACTTTTAATAAGATGATAAATCAGTGAAGTGACTTTTGCTTTAAAGCAACTTAAGTTATTAAACAAGTCCTTTATTTGTGATTCTCTGATGTTTATCCATCGATTACAAGTGGGGTTTTTTTTATCAGAGGGGGGTTTTGTGGAGATTTTAGTAATTTTATATAGTTGAGATCATAAGTCAATTGAAGCTAGATCATTATGGAAAACTTGAAAGCACTGGACGACCGCTTCGTCCTATTGTGGGACTCCTCAGCAGTACGCATCCACGATCCCGCCTCGCGAGATTTGAACCCAGGATCTATTTTGTCATTAGTTGAACCTGTAAGGTATAAGGTTTGACAGAGAATATGAGAAATACTCTGATACTTTTTCTGAACTAATACAGAGTTCTATTCACTAGATGCAGATTCATACACTTTACATTAAGCCACATTCCAAGTGGAAGGGCTAATGACATTATCCAGGCATTCAAACAGAGGTAAATTGAGCAGGCTTCGAACGAGCTCCACCGATCCTCCTGCTTTCACTCTCATCTTCATAAGCTACTTATTTTTTTGACAACTGAATGTCGTACAGTAAATTGAAAATTCACTTACATTAACTAGCTAAGGTGTGTATATCTGTATATGAAAGGTTATTAGTTTGGGTTGGCTGTAAATTGTCCTAAGCCTTTCAAAAACTTTAAGAAGTTCAATATATCATTCAGTAAAATGAAAGAATTTAAATCTGAACTTATCACTTATTAGTAGAACTGAGCTTTAAAAGATGTTCAGTTAGGTAGTCATGATAAAGCTACAGGAACAACACACTGCAATCAATATCATTGGAGTACTGTAAATCTAGCATCAGAAAATAAGTAATAACTTATAGCTTCTTCATGTTTAGTAGTAAAGTGCTATTAACCGTGCAAATAAATATACAACTCGAAAGCACTGTTTATTTACAATTTAAATTCCAATTAATAGCTGTTTTTTTTGGTGTGGGCTACTTATATCTATATAAGTAGTATATGGTGTTGATCAGACATAGAATGTATTTTGGCAGAAGACCGATAAGGAAAGAACTGAAATGAAGCGCAAATTGGTAGGGAAATGCATGAACAATGGAATTAGAGAAGATGAACTGATATTTACAAAAGAAACAGTGAAGATTGAAACAATTGATTGTTATTTTACAAATTAACTATTTACTGTATGGTTATCAGAATTTAGTGAGATAATCTGTAGTTTTTGCTTAAATACATTCGATTGTTCTCAACCGGTGTTTTGTTCACTACAGTTTTACCCTTCAAAATATAATATTAGCCTTCTTAAGTTATCAAACTTTGTTAAAATCGAAATGTTACAAAAGTTCGACCTATGCGTTGTATCTTAATAAATGGATTTATTATATACCTGTTATTAAATGAAATATTATAAAGATGTTTGTAGTAGCTAAGTTCTATTTCACAGGGAACATAGAGAGTATACAATCAAGAAAGGAAGAACAAAAAGACAGCAGTTAACAACACCTGAACAAGAGCAGAGAAAGTCAAGGAACAAGCTGAATACACAGAAGCAAATAAGCAAGTGAAAAGGATCATTAGAGCCGACAAGCAGAAATACGTGGAAGAGCTAGCAACAACAGTAGAAAAAGCTTTAAGAGAAGAAAATATGAGACAGCTATATGACACAACTGGCAGGGAAATGTAGTACACCAAAGAGATCAGTCAAGGACAAAGAAGGCAAGATAATCACCGAGATTCAAGAACAGAGGAACAGATAGATAGAATACTTCGGGGAACTCTTGAATAGACCAGTTCCATCGAACCCACCGAGTATATCGAAGCAGTACCTATAGACCTTCCTACAGGTGTAACTTCACCAACGACGGAAGAAATCAGGATGGCCATCAAAAATGCTTCTCGTTCTATTCAGGAAGATTTGAGAGGAATAAGAAGAAGAACAAGTGCCGACGGACCGGAAAGAAGGACACCTCATCAAAATACCAAAGAAAAGAGATCTGAGTAAATGTGAGAACTATGGAGGCATCACACTACTGTTTTCAACAGTGTTGCTGAACCGAATGAAAGATTCAGCAGACGCCCAATTTTGAGATCAATAGTCTGGATTGTGTAAGGACAGGTCATGAACAGACCAAATCGCGACACTACGGATCATTGTTGAACAATCAGTTGAGTGGAACTCGTCACTATACATCAACTTTATTGACTATGGGAAGGCGTTTGACAGTGTGGATGGGAGAAAATTACCAGAACTTCTTCGACAATATGGTGTACCTGAGAAAATTGTCAACATCATCCGGAATTCATACGATGAACTACACTGCGAAGTCGTGCATGGAGGACAGATGACAGATCCATTCCAAGTAAGGACCGGAGTCAAGAAAGGCTGCCTACTCTCTCCCTTCCACTTCTGGCAGTCGACTGGATTATGAAGACCTCGACATCTGAGAGAAGGCACGGAATGCATTTGACAGATCAGAATCAATTAGAAGATTTGAACTTCACAGACGATCTAGCTCTTCTATCCCATACACACGAACAAATACAGATGAAGACAACTAGTGTGGCAGTACCCTCTGTATCAATAGGCCTCAACATACACAAAACAAAAAGAAATATCCATGAATACAATCAAAGAACACCAACCAAATCACACTTGATGGGGAAGCTCTGGATGAGGTGGAATCCTTCACGTATCTGGGAAGCATCATCGATGGACAAGAAGGATTCGATGCAAATGCAAAGGCGAGGGTTGGCAAATCAAGGACCGCATTTCTACAATTGGAGAACATATGGAACTCAAAACAACTGTCAACCAATATCAAAGTGAGAATTTTCAATACGAACGTCAAGACAGTTCTAGTGTACGGAGCTGAAACGTGAGGAACTACTACAACTATCATCAAGAAGGTACAAGTATTTATAAATAATTGTCTACGCCAGATACTCAATATCCATTGACCGAATATCATCAGAAACAGCCTACTGTGGGAGAGAGTAAATCATCTTTCAAATAAGGAGGAAATTACCATACAGTAAAATCTTCTAACAAAGTATACAATAATAAACCAACCTGATGTCCTTCATAACGCCAACGTTTCTCTAAATGATAACTTAAACGATTTGAAGATGTTAATTTTTTTGAGTTTTTACTATAGATTTCAACAATTGCATCACCATGAGTTTGTACAGCAAAACGAATATTTTGATTAGAATGATATTTTGGTTTTAAAGCCAATCTGTTACAACCCCAACGTTCCTAAAATGTAATAGAAAACATTCTAATAGTCTTCAGTCTAATACGTTTGACATTGCTAACACATATTAGTTAGTAAGTGGTGTAAAGGGAAATATGTCTTGTTAATTCTACAAAGGAAACTTGATAGATTGTAATAGTTGAATTCATGAGTCGATCTGAGCTAGACCATTATTGCAAAACCTGGAAGCATTGGACGGCCGTTTCGTCTTATTATATAGATGTGCAGTGCTCAGAAGTCTCAATACTAGAACGAAACGACCGTCCAATGCTTTCAGGTTTTTAATAGTAATCTAGTTCAGATTGATTCATGAATTATTACAATTACTTTATATAGTTAAGATCATGAGTCAATTGAAGCTAGACCACCATGGAAAACCTGGAAGCACTGGACGGCTGTTTCGTTCTATTATGGGACTCGTCAGCAGTACGCATCCACGATCCTGAACTCTCGAGATTTGAATTCAGGACCTACAAGTCTCGCGCCAGAGCACTTAACCGATAGACCATTGAGCCGTCCGGCATCCAACGGTGTTAATGTATAACTTCAACCAATCCACGAAATTGCGCGACCAACTTTCATTGTACTGAGGTAAATACCTGTCTCTACCTGACATGGATTAGCTCCACTGGTCACGACTTCTCACTAGAACTCAAGGAATCACCTTATGGAGCCAGTCACTAGTGAGCATACAATCTCCACAACACACCCTGCCCATTCTAATTATATTTAAAAGTTAATGTTTGTTTATTTTGCTTTTCATCATTTAATTACTTACTTGATATAATTGATGAGATATTGGTTTAGCAAATCGTATATCCCATACAGCTATATTATGTTCACAATTATTTCGATCAACAGTATCTGAACATGAACTAAATTGATTTTCATTAAGCCAAAGTAAATCAGCTATCTGACAATGAATTATTAAAAGGAAAAAAAACGGAATGAGTTACCCAATAAACAAGTTTGATTGTAATTTGACATAGTAGTTTAAGAGATCAATGATATTTGACTTTATTATATATGCGCCGCACAAATCTCATTCGATTTGTGTGAAGGCTGTGATACTACCCAGGTGCCCAAACTCAAGCAGGTGGTTTTCTCACACGGCCACATCCGGAGCCTTTGACCTTGACCACAAGGCAGTGGAGCATCGTGAAGAGATGCAGTCCCATGGTAGCCTGTGACCAACGATTCATTCATACGCCATTTGTTCCCTCAGGATACTGGAACCAGTCCATGTGTACCATTGGTTTGGAATGAGGGTTTTCCAACTCCAATAGGTGGATCCTCCGTGTCCACCAACCCGGTTAAAGCGCCGGACATTCGCTTTTCGTTCTCTCACCTTCGTAAACAATACCCGCGCCACCGGAAGGCAGTTTGTAGGACTTCCATGGTAGAGGCTATATACGCGTGACCATGTGAGAGCAATTCGAGAGAAAGCGGACTCCCCCCATTCTCGGCCGTACCAGGGCATTTGGGGGCATATTTAAAAATGATTGATCAATGAATAGTGACCAATCAATTGTAAACAAATTGATAAGATAGATTATTGTCATATCTTACTGAAGTTTTTAATTCTGTATGAGAATATTTTAATTGAGGTACTTTGGATGTTGATATACGCAAATCCCATAAACTTATAATACCACTGATACCACCAGTTAATAGAAAAGAGGAATCGTTATCGACTGGTAATGATGCACAACGTAATAATGGACCAGTTTGTGAAGATACATTGAAATGTCTAATCTTTTTACCTAGATATATATAATGGATGAAAAAAATGAAAATTCGAACGAAAAGTAGCTTTATGTGTCATTAATTAGAGGTAAGTTATGTGTAGTTAATATAACAAACAGAAAGTTAACGGATATATACAGTCCTAAACTTAACGGTTTTGAGTATGACTACATATATGGAGAGGTGATTTAGTGATTAAGGCGTTCTACGTCTAACCGCTAGGTAGTAGATTTGAGTCCCATTTCACCTACTTCAGTATGAGCAGCTGGGTAGTGGTACTCTAGTACTCACTTATAAATAAAGTGTGACTGAAAGCTGAGTATAGGAATCGATTTGGTGAGTCAAGTTATTTATCGTTACATTGATAGGCTACGTTGTGTATTATTTCATGTTACATTTGTGTTTTGAAGTTTGCCCTATCTGATTGTAGCAGCTGTGAAGTCGAAGTCAATTGTTTAGGTGTTTTTTTCTTTCATTGAGTTGAGGTTATCTGCAAAATCTTGAATGTTCAGAGCCTGTATCGTTTACGACCTTTTGTTTATTTCCTGTTCATTTACTGAATGAGAGATGGATATCAGAGTAATTTTTACTAGGGATTTCATTTCAAGCCTCAACTTCAATTATCACGAATGCTACAAAGAGTCATTGCATAACTAGTGAAGGTTCAAAAGAGTGGTAAAAAAAACGAGTCTGCCCAAACAAAAACAAAATGACAAAAAAATGGATTGTTGAGTGTTATGTAATGGTTCTGCGTAAGCAGTACAAAAACAGATATCCCGCCCCGGTAGTTGTGCCGTATTTCGATGTAGCACTCTTCTCCAAAGGGGCCTAATAGGCTTCACTATTGTATATGGCTGGAAGGGGGGGGGTCTGTTATATATTCGTGACCCAATTTCTGTCAAGCGATTTGTTCAAATATTGATGAACATTTGAAAGAAACAAATCTTGTTTTAATATTGAAAATCAAGAAAGCGATCAGAACACTCGACCTACCTTGATTAATATCCCAAATTTCAATTAATCCTTTAAAAGTAGCTGCTATCAATTGTAAACATTGTGAATCTGTTATAGAAGAATGAAATTTTGTCCAACAATAAGAATCTAATCGTAAATATGGTGATAGTACTGATGATGAATTAGAAGTCAGTTCATGATCTAAATGAATTCGATAATCACAAATAAGTGAAGGTGAATTTTTTGCACTATCAGTATATGGAAGTCGCCATATCAAAATATGTGATGATAGTTTATCAATCGTTTCATTTGATTGTTTGCATAATGGTCCACATAATGCAAGATATGGCCATTGAAGTGAGAGACGAGGATAGATTACAGTATTATTGGTATCAACAATATTAGATGCCTAATATATACAAACACAAAAATAATGTAATTACACATCAGATTAAATGCATGATTGAAGATTAAATAGTGGATAAAATGATAAGATTTCAGTATGCAATGAATAGCTATCGAATTCTGGTTGGGCCACGTGTTACGTATGCCTGAACACAGATTACCACGACGCGCTATGCTGACTGGTATTGGGGATGGTTGAAAGAAACTTAGTGGCGGCCAAACTAAAACATGGCATCAGTGCTTGAAATTACTAACTTCAATTCTGAACCATGTTGGTAGATGCAGACTACTTGGTTGGGGTCCGCATGACTATCGTAATCAATGGTTTGAGACTCTAGGTGACATGGCTCAGAATCGATCACAATGGCGTCGATGTATACACTATTTATCTTCCCTTAAACCTTGAGATTAAAATTGCTTCATAACTTTCTTCCTTCCTATAGTATATTCTTATATACAACCTTTCTTTTATATACTACCACCACTAAATTAACTACTTCCATGAATTTGGTGTTCATCTTGTTTTGCTAACGAGGTATGGCAACTTGGACCGATGCATATATGTGGCTGGTCCTACATTGTAGCTGACTGCCTGACTGAATTCTTCATATGTTAAAAATAATAATAAATAATAATAATAATAGTTAGTTGTCTAGAACGTAGGGCCAAGCATATATATGCATCGGTCAAAGTTGTCACACCTCATTAGCACAACAAGATGAACATTCGAATTCATAGATATAGTTACTTCAATGGTAGTAATATATAAAAGAAAGATTGTGTATAAGGATATAATACAGGAAGAAAGAATTAGTTCGTAGGAAGATATAAATCAATTTTAATCTCAAGGTTTAAGGGAAGACAAAGAGTGTATACACCTACGCCATTGTAATCGATTCTGAGCCATGTTACCCAGAGTCGCCAACCATTGGTTACGATAGTCACGCAGACCCCAACCAAGTAGTCTGAATCTACCAACATAACTGAGACTAGAAGTTATTGGTTTTATAGATTGATGCCACGTTTTGGTTTGGCCGCTCCTAACTTCCTTCAAACCATCTCCAGCACTAGTCAGCATTGCGCGCCTTCATAATCGGTGGTTCAGAATGCGTAAAACGTGGCCCAGCCACCTCAGTCGATGAAGATTCATCACCTCATCAACTGATTTACCATCATTCCCTAATACACTGTGTCCAACCCGGTGATCCCAGCAGATGCTTACAATATTTCTGAGACATTTATGATCAAATACTAGCAACCTACGAGTATCTTCTATTCTTAATGGCCACGTTTTGCAGCCGCAAAGTAAAACAGAACGAAATGCCGTGCAGATAATGACACATGAATAAGATAAATTTAACTAATGGGAGAATAAAGAAGAAAACTATATGCATATTAGTTAAATCAGTTTATCTTATAATTGAGCTTATTACCAACTTATTGGACCTAAGGCTGGTCACGATAGGAAAAGACGCTGAAACCATTTTTTTCTGTACGCAACGGTTCCGACATTTTTGAAACTTGTACAGTTACTGCTTCTGAAGTTCGTAAACCTCTATGTCAGACAGATTTTGATAAGAAATTACTAAACCGATTACCTACTGAAAATAATTAGTCTGTGATGGCATTATGATCAATTTGAGGTAGATGGAAAAATATTAAGCTGTTGACCATTTTAACTACACCTTTGCTTAGTCATACTAAAAACTATTCCATAGGATTAATTGAGTTGATAAATACAAAAAGATGTGACGGGTTCAATTTTGTTGACACCACCGGGTGGGTAGATAAGGTCAGTTGAAGTTTTCTTGTGGTGAATGTTCTTTGAATTATGTTGAGTAAAATCAGCACTAATATTTTGCTGGATACGTCACCTTAAAATGGTAGGTGCATAAACAGCGACTTTTTATTTGCCATTTAAACTTCCTTTGGTTTTCCTATTTGTGACTAAGTGTCTATTTATAATCTCCCTCAGATATCCAGTTTCTCTTTGAATATTATGAGAATCATCTGCTTTTCCTTAAAGTAATACACTTCATAATTTCTTGTTTTTATTTAAACGCATAAATATTGGTACAAAGAAGCACCAGACATATATGCACCACACAAATCTCATTCGAATTGTGTGAGGGCTCTGATACTGCCCACGTACCCAAACCGAAACAGGTGATCTTCTTAGGGGGGGGGGCACAACCGGAGCCTTTGACCTAAAGGTCTAATCTACAAGACAATCGAACAACATCAGGAGATGCAGCCCCATGGTAGTCTGTGACCAACAATTGATTCATACGCCATTTGTTCCCTCAGGATACTGGAGTCCATGTGCACCATTGGTTTAGAACCCGGGGTTTCCAACTCCCCTAGGTGAACTTTCTACGTCCACCGATCCGGTTAAAGCGCCAACCATTCGCTTTTCGTCCTATCAATTTTGTAAACACCACCCACACCATGAGAAGGCTGCGAGTAGGACTTCCCTATCAGAGGCTATATACGTGTGGCCATGTGAGTGCATTTCGAGAGGGAGAGCGTACTCTCCCCACTCTCGGCCGTACCAGGGCATTTGGGGACTAAGATGGATTGACATTTTATGGATATTTAGCGGAACCACTTTAGGCTTACCAAGAAAGTAAATTTTAAAAGATAAAATTTATCTCAATTTAATAATACTGATTCAAATGATAAAGTATACTTACTTTATAGTCAATAACATAGGAAATAAGAAAGTTGCTATTACCGTTCAATGTTTCAATATGATTCCGTGAACTGGAAGAAGTATCAATGATTTTCAGTAAATTTTCTTCTTCTAAATATTTATCTTTTTGTAATGACAAAAGTTTATCATCTTTATTGATCATTGGCACTGTATTTGGCAATAAGTCATTATCATGTATTGTAGATGTCCAAAAATTAGCTAGAATGAATATGATTTACAAAATAGATTTCTTGAAAATATGGTAGATGTAAAACATCTTGATTGAAATTTTAAAAAAAAACTAATTCCGAACCACTGAATTCTCCGATAAGGCTGAGGATGCAGAGAGTTCACGCTTTACTAGAAATACTTTCATACAGTTATGCGTCTAAAGATTGTGATAGGTAAATCCTACGAAGTACCTTTCATTAGACAGAGATTATTTTTTTCCGTACGAAAGGGATAGAGAGAAAAGCGAACATCTGGCTCTTTAAACGGGTTGAAATATATGGATAATCCTACAAAAAGAGTTGGAAAACTCCAACTATTAACTAATGGTGCACATTAGCTCCATGGTCGCGAGTAAAATAATGGCGCACGAAGTACATAGAGTAAGATTCAATCATACGATCGACTTATTTATAAATAAGTATTTTAACTAATAACATAAGAGTGATAATAAGATATGACAACTTGAACCGATGCATAAATGTTTCTGATCCTAAGTTGTAGCTGATTGACAATGTTGTGAAATATAGCTATTTGAATTTACAAAATCATACATGAGATTATTTTTATTCTGTTGAGTGCCTGTCTGGATGCTCTGTTTATGTATTACATTATAAGACCGTCAATTAAAGAGATTATGATTTATCGATTGGAACAATGACACACAAAACCTGTGCGAGCTTTCTAGAGCACTCGCCAGTCCTTCTATTCGCCTAGCCCAACCAGTTAAGTCCAGAACACCAATCTCAGTCTCTGAGGTATGAATCATTATATTTCAAACATTCTAGGTTTTAATACCAATCAAACTGACTACATCGTACTATGAAATAGAAAATAACATGTGTACAAGATTTGGCCAAATGTGGATGTGAATGTGGGGAACATTAACTAATAGACAGGGGATAACACAAGAATGGTAAATCGTATAGCAATAATTTTGACTTATGAACTATTATTATACGATTTACCATTTTTGAGTTATCGCCAGTCTATGCATTACTATCTCCCCACATTCACAGCCACATTTGGCCAAATCTTGTACACATGTTATTTTCTATTTCATGATACGATGTAGTCAGTTTGATTGGTATAAAAACCTAGAATGTTTGAAATATAATGATTCATACCTCAGAGACTGAGACTGGTGTTCTGGACTTAACTAGCTGGGTTAGGCAGAAAGCTAGGCCGACAAATACTTTTAACTGCTCGTACAGGTTTCGTATGTCATTGGTTAGATCGATAAATCACTGCTATTCAATTGGTGGCATCATAACGTTATGTATCAGCAAGGCACACAAGCCACCAGATATAACAGAATAATAACATAGAGATAGTGAAATTAAATGCTTAAAATACAATCTCCTGTAAAAATTACACCTCAAATTACAAAATTCATTTACTGAATGAAGAAGAAGATGAAAAAAAGCTACTTAGCGTATTTCATAGTTGAAAGCATGAGTCAATTGAAGCTAGACCACCATGGAAAACCTAGAAGCACAGAACGGCCGTTTCGTCATCTTATGCGATTCCTAAGCAGTGAACATCCATGACCTCGAAGCGCAATATTCGAACCCGACTCAGTGATCTATCGGTTAAATGCTCTAGTGCGAGACTGATAGGTCCTGGATTCAAATAACGAGGTTGTAGATGCACACTGGTTAGGAGTCCCACAATAAGACAAAACGGTCGTCCAGTGCTTCCGAGGTTTTCTTCGATGATCTAGTTTCAACTGACTCATACTTTCAACTATGAAAATACTGAAATCTCCACAAAACCCCTTTATGATAATACTTAACATTCTTCAGTATTGTATATACATTTAACTGCACCAATATTATTTCATGTTTTAATCATTCATTATCAGTTATATGTATCTATTGTTATGTCATATTAAGATATTCAATGGCAAAAAACAAAGAATATTATCATTTGATGGAATTTAATCGGATTGTATCTATGGTTTGTTACTTATCTATTCAACAACAAAAAAAATCATTAACATTCACCATTTATTATGATCCTTTCCATATAACTAAAAAAAGGTTTAAATAAGATTAGTTTAATATGACTTTTTTTTTAATTAGAAGTAGAATATTTGTTATAACTTTATAAAAGATGATCGTTGCCAATTCTTTATGATTTTATGTCCGGCTTTTTATCATGTAGATTATCCAACAATTGAAAAACGACTTTACCAATCTTAACACTGTGCCAAATCAATGAGTAGTCTAGTGTCCTTATTAGTCCCTTGTCCGCCTAGTTCTTCCAATTGAGTCCGAAAACATTAATTACAGCTTCTGTTATGCGAATCATTTATTTCGACCATATTCGGTTTATATACCAGACAGACAGACAGACCGTATCATACCATAAAATCAAAAAATAATATTTGTACAAGATCAAGCCAAATGTGGCTGTGAACGTGGGAGACAGTAATCAATAAATTGAATGTAATATAGGGACAGTAAATCATATAATAATAATTCATAAGTCAAAATGAAGCTTATAATAAGATGAATATAGATATTTATTTATTTAAACACATAAATATTGGTACAAAAGGGCACCAGATATATATGCGCCACACAAATCTCATTCGAATTGTGTGAAGGCTGTGATACTGCATGGGTGCCCAAAACGAAACAGGTGGCTTTTTTAGGGGGCCACACCCGGAGCCTTTGACCTAAAGGTCTCATCCACAAGGCAGTGGAACAACATCAGGCGATGCAGTCCCATAGTAGCCGGCGGCCAACGATTGATTCATACGACATTTGTTCCTAAAGGCTACTGGCGACCATGTGCACCATTGGTTTGGAATAAGAGTATTCCAACTCCCCTAGTTGAACATTCCGTGTCCACCGAACCGGTTAAAGGGTCGGACATTCGCTTTTTCTACTCTCAATCTCGTAAACAGCAGTAATGGCACGAGAAGGCAGTGAGTAGGACTTCCCTGTCAGAGACTATATAGGCGTGGCCGTGTGAGAGTAATTGGAGAGAGCGAGCTGACTCTACCCACCCTCGGCCGTACCAGGGCGTTTGGGGACATGTAAAGATTAATTACATCAAGGCGGGAAAGATTACAAAGAAATGAGCACTTGTTAGTGTAGAAGACAATGGGGCAATACCTACTTTTATACTCATTTCAAATCAACGGTTAATGAATTCATGCATGAATTAGGTCGACGTTATAGTGTTTTCAACATGGTTATTACTTCAATCAGTAATAAACATACAAAAAAACGCTGTCATGTCTAACATATGGCTGAACAACATCAGGTGTTTCAAGTTTACACTTGTATTAACTGGTTGACTGACAACGTCCATCTAGAAGCATTGATGATTCGGTGAACCATCTATATGTGCACGATTGATGAAAATCGAAGGATGCTTATGTACATCGGCATTTCATTGACGGCCGACTTAATCAAGAGTGATACAGCTCTACAAATAGATGATGTGTTTTACATAAAAAACTAAGTCGGTTCATATTTTTAAATTAGGCTTTGGAGTATTCACATCGTCAGACGTAAAAAGTAAAACTCCTACCAAAGATTCTCGGTTTTAAACACACTGGAAATTACTTGGATTTTTACGTAAGAATATTATGCAAACACAGTAGTGTGGGCTGATTAGAAAAGAGTATGCAAGAGTTAGTCCGTTATAATCGAAATAAGGCTTGGTAAAATGTGTGTCGGCCCAAGTCTGCACAGAACATTGGCACAACGAGATGAAATAAACAAGGTGAATAACAAAAGAGACGAAATGATTTCAGTTGGCACCATAGAGAGAAACACTAAGCGTTGGGAACATGGTTAGAGAACGGAAGAAAAGCTGTGTATGAAGGAATACTATGAATCAACATCTGGATTAAAATAAAGAGCGAATGCAACTGTGTCACTGTGACTTAGCTATATCGTCTAACTTCTCCGACCATTGACTGTGCTATAACAGAACGAATATCGAGGACACTATGATAAAATTATATAAAGTACTATCATTTACATTCTTATTATGTAATTAATAAATATTCAAGGCTGTAAGAAGCTCGAGGACCAACAGACGTTGTGGTCTCGGCTGTTATTCATTTATCTGTGTTATTAATCAATTAGAAGGTTATTGATCCTAAAAATATAGAGAGAATTTAATTGGTAATCAAACGAGGTCGTACAACTGCTTTCACAACAACAAATTGATTACATGAGCCATAATTGGTATGGAGAGCCAATCAAAAGTAGTCTAATGAGAAGGTTAATCGATGGCAATCAGAAGTGGCCTAAAGGACAAATGCGTTTCATTGGCATATATATATATATATATATATATATATATATATATATATATATATATATATATGAGTATTTGTGCATTTTATTCGATAGCCCAATACACTTTCTCACTCACTCTTTTGTCCCCGCTCAAGTAGTTAGTTGGAGAGTTAACGCGTAGCGCACGGTGTATAAGTATCAGATTTTGAACAACGCCCATCGCAACACTAATACTACACTAATAGACTGTAGTAATTAGATAGACTTCAGTCTGGTAGTCGATATCCACCAATATTATTGAAATCAACAGTCAATGACATCAGTGATTGATAAGTTAAAGTTTTATTATACAATGCGAGAGAATATAACCTATTGTTTAACTTTAAAAATAACAAGATTTTTTTAACAGACGAATTCACGAAGCAATCTCAACTAGGTCACCATTGAAAACCTAGGAGCACTGGATGGCCGTTTCAGCCTATTATGCGACTCTGCATGAGGGACTCAAACCTAGGACCTTCGGTCTCGTGTGTGAACGCTTAACCTCTAGATCACTGTGTCGGCATCTAACGTTATTAATTTCTAACTTAAGTCGATCCATGTTCTTGCGCAACCCTTCATCCATTGTTTGAAGTGGATAACTGTCTCCACCCTACACGAATTCGACTCCACTGGTCATGGCTTCTCACTAGAACCTTAGGAAATCCATCTTGAAGCTAGTTACTAGTGAGCACATGATTATTATTAGTACAGGGATTTGTGGAGATTGTAGTATTTCAGCAACTGAATTCACAAGTCAATCTAAGCTAAACCGAAGATTCTTAGTTTCGAGTCCCGAGTGCGGGAGCGTGGACGCGCACTGCTGAGTCCCATACTAAGACGAAACGACCCTCCATTACTTCCAGATATTCAATAAAGATCTCGCTAAACTCGTGAATTCACCTATTAAAATATTAAAATCTCCACAAATTCCAATACTATTAATAATAATCTTGGTGTTCTGGACTTGACTGGTTGGGCTAGGCAGAAGCAGGACCGATACGTAATCTAGACTCCTTATAGTTTTTGTGTGTCACTGTTCCAGTCGATAATTCGCTGCTCTCTAATTAGCGATCTTATCATGTCATACGCTAACAGAGCATCCACTCGGTTACGAGTTATAATAAATTAAAATAAAGCTTACTATTGCTTTCATCATTATTGTCCTTCAGATTGAAAAAATCTTCTTCAGCTATATGAACAGATTGTAAAGATTGAAAATTAGATGAATTTGATAATTTTACTGAACCTTCTTCATATTCACTCAATGAAATATCCGATTCAGATTTGTCAGAATCAGAATAATCCACTAATTCACACTATACAAGGAAGAAAAAAGTGTAAAGTGTAAAAGTGTAAAGTGCCTAGTGATATTACCTCATTTCACAAACCGTAGTAGATAGAAAGGAATCTAAATCTACAGTTTATTGACTGAAAATCGAATATCTTACCTAGAGAGTCACTATACCAACAGGGTTAATTCATCCTTAGTATAAACTATTGAAGAAGTATAACATTATCTATTGATAACAACAGTTAGTTAACGAGGGGTTTTGTGGAGATTAAGTATTTTCATAGTTGAAAGCTAGAGTCAATTGAAGATAGACCACCAATGAAAACTTGGAAGCACTGGACGGCCATTTCGTCCTACCATGGGACTCCTCAGCAGTGCGCATCCACGATCCAGCACTCGCGAGATTCCAATCCACGACCTACCAGTTTCGCGCTAGACCACTTAACCGATCGACCACTGAGCCGGCATCCAACGGTGCTAAAGTCTAACTTCAACTTCAATTGAATCACGCTTTCAACTATGAATATACTAAAACTCCACAAAAACCCTTTCTGATAATAATCAACATATGCTCACTAGTGACTAGCTCCATGAGGTATTTCCTGGAGTTCTAGTGAGAAGCAGTGACCAGTGGAATCCAACCAGGTCTGTTGTGAGATATCAACTCACTGAAGACACTGGTGAATGGTTGCTTAATTTCGTGGATTGGTTGAAGTTGGACATTAACACCGTTGGATGTCAGCCAAATGGTCTAGAGGTTGAGCGCTCGCGCGCGAGACTGATACGTCCTGGGTTTGAATCTTGCGAGTGCGAGCTCGTGGATGCGTACTGCTGAGGAGTCCCAATATAGGACAAAACGGTCGTCCAGTGATTCCAGGCTTTCCAGGGTGGTCTAGCTTCAATTGATTTAGGCTTTAAACAGTTAGTTAACACAATTGTATTGTCTGAATTAATTAAATACAATACATCATTTATGGACAGACCAATCAGATATAAGATAACAGGTCTTGGATTTTGGCGCGAGATTCGTTCATCCATTTGACTAATTAGTTTTGGCATTATAACTGATGTAAGTTTGTGATGAAAACCCTAAATCTAATTCCTAACCCTAACCATCAACTGTAAATCAGAATCGTAATTCCTCACCCTGGTTTATAACTCTCATTTAACCATAGTAAGTAGGCGGATACTCTCGAGGTCACTTTAGCGTCACTCAATGGTCGTCCATAAATTATAGTCTAATCATTCAAATGAAGTAATTTATACATTATTAATTAAATATTGAGTAGAATGATTTGTATGATCACTTTTTCAAAGTCTATGATAATTTTTTTGGCACTTCAGTCAGTCAGTCAGTCAGCTACAACGTAGAACCAGGCACATTTATGCATCGGTCCAAGTTGCCAAACCCCATTAGCACAACAAGATGAACACCGGATTCATAGAAATAGTCAATTTAGTGGTGGTAATATATAAAAGAAAGGTAGCATATAAGGATATATTATAGGGAGGAAGAAAGTTATGAAGCGATTTTAATCTCAAGGTTTAAGGGAAGATAAAGAGTGTATACAACTACGACATTGTGAACGATTCTGAGCCATGTTACCTAGAGTCTCAAACCATTGATTACGATAGTCATGCGGACCCCAACCAAGTAGACTGCATCTACCATTAACATGGCTCAGACTAGAAGTTAGTGACTTCAAGCACTGATGCCATGTTTTGGTTTGGCCGCCCCTAGCTTTCTTCCAATCATCCCCAATGCTAGTCAGCATAGCGCTTCGTGGTAATCTGTGTTCAGGCATACTTAACAAGTGGCCCAAACTTTTTGGCAGTTAATATTTGATTAATAACACATTTAATTTATTATTAGATAGTGTTAGTAAATACATCTTTATTCTACAGATCATATTGAACTATAGATGATGTAAGCAAAAGGAAAAGTGAATGCCCGACGCCCTAACAAAGTTCGTGGATATGGAGGATTCATTTAGAAGAGTTGGAAAACCCTGATTCCGAACCAATGGTGTACATGGGCTCCAAGATCCTGAAGGAACAAGTGGCATATGAAGCTATTGTTGGCCACAGACTACCATGGGACTGTATCACTTGATGTTGTTCCACTGTCTTGTAGATTAGACCTTTAAGTCAAAGGTTGATCAAATAAATAAATAAAACATTATTGCAGAAAATTTGAGTTAAGTTGGACTATTGAAATTATTCTTTTACTGGGATTCAATGTTGGAACTTTTATTGTATCTTCGTATGTTTCTACTCGCAAGTTTTTCATTATGCATCAGCTGTTGTTATGTATTGTACCCTGATTAAATTAGTATGGGGCTGTGAAAATAGTTGAATTTCGTTGAGATCATGAACCCATCAAAGACAATAGGAGATGGTTCGGGGTTCAATTCCCGTGTGCAAGACCGTGGAGAATTCCCATATTAAGACGAAGTGGCTGTCCAATATTTCCAGGTTTTCAACAGTAGTCCAACTTCGATCGGTTCAGGACTTCAAGGGGATGCAAATATTGAGTGATACATTGAAACAACAATAATACTCAGATTAGGCATTTAACTGAAGTCATAGAAATGCGATGTTACGTATCTTACCATGATAAAGTTGTACAGTATTTGTGTACACAAGGCCAGAAAGTCATTGTATCAATTTAGTTCGTTCATTATGCTATTTAATAGAAAAGAGAGTAAAGTTAGTGATCATCATTACCAAGATTATTTTTACCTTAAAAAATTTACAGCCAGGAGTGTTCAATGATTGTAGAAAAGTATTAAGTACTGAGCACTTTTATCAAACTGAAAACGTTTATCGATACAAAAGAAATGTTAATCTGTTATATCTGAAGCGTCCGAATTCACTTAGTCAGCGAACGGAACAAAGACTTGTGACCAGAGACCGATAAGCCAGCTATTCTAACGCGTCCCAAACCCAGCTAACTACAGTAAGAATTCCAAGTTGGAAGCGGGGAAAATATATTCCGTAAACAGTCAGAAGCACAGCAATCGTAAGTGGAAGAAACCAAACAAATAAATTCAAATTTTCAAAATAAAATTACAAAAATAGGTCATTTACCAAGTGAGTTCTGGGGATTTAACATCCCCAACATAATCTCAAAGGTTCTCTACACAATGATGTTTTAATTGTTACTATTGACTAACAGATGAAGAAGGTTTGTAGCTCAACATGACTTTCATGAGATTGTGTTGGCTGAAATAGGGAGATTATTCATGAACATTTCGTTGTCTTTCTAAGTGAGATTATCAAATGTATAAACTTCCGATAGAAGTGAATTACTTAAATTCCTTCATACATGTTGGCCTTGACTACACAGAGGTGTGACGGTAGTAAGGTGTTTACTTCAGACAACCAGCATAACAACGATGCTGCCTTCCCTGAAGGGGGGTTAGAAAAACTCGAAACTAAAAATGCACACTTCACCATATCCCACGGATATCCGTCTTCGGCGGTAAGGTAGCAACCAGTAACTAGTAACAAGTAGCTAACACAAAAATTACCCATAAAATGGTCATGTGACCGACCTCAAGCAGTTTTCCTTTGGGTGCTGCGGTCACGCTCTCAAGTCATTAAGACCAATTCTAATTCAATTTTCTTTTCAGGTACCTCTAGAAGAGCCCTTCCACGGTGTGGGCAACCGGGAAGTGATAACTACCCTCATAACTTTAACAGCACTCAAGATCACTGACTAACTTTTATTGGTCAATACTGGCCATTATAATCAGGCTGTTTGTATATTTATTCAGAAGAAGATAGGAGAACGGTCATCAAGAACCAGTCATAATCAAGGTTGACAGGACAAGCAATTAGTCATATACCAAAAAATTAATATAGTTCACTTCTCTCTGAATTTCGTACTGATGATGTTGTCTAGAAAATCAGTGAAAGCTTCAAAATTAAACCACACAGTTTAAAGAATGTAATTATATCGGACTATTGACAAAGAAGTGTATATTATCTAACTGTTTTGATTGTAAACAACGATTAATAAGTTGGACAATTCATCGTCTCCGGTACAAACTTAGACTGTTCATCGAGGAACCAAACGGGATTTCTCCTAAGATTGAGTTTTTTTAAAAGATGGTGAGAAATGAAACATACTTAATAGCCCAGCTAGTCACGGACACGGAGGGTCCACCTAGGGGAGTTGGAAAACCCTGATTCCAAACCAATGGTGCACATGGGCTCCAGTATCCTGATGGAACGAATGGCGGAAGAACCTACTGTTGGTCAACGGCAACCATGGGACTGCATCTCCCCACGATGCTCCACTGCCTTGTGGATCAGACCTTTAGGTCAAAGGCTCGGGGTGTGGTCCCCTAAGAAAACAACCTGCATCGGTTTGGGCACCCGGGCAGTATCACAGCCCACACACAAACAAATGAATGAAATTATGAACTCTATTGACGATATCCCTGGTCATACTAAAAGCAAGACAATTAACATTATTATTATTATTATTACCATTATTATTATTATTATTATTATTATTATTATTATTATTATTACTTACCATATCGCTAATTCACCCCCTTTTATCCCCAATTTGTGTAACCTTACTCTTCAACTTATGCAGCAGCTCGCTCTTGGTGGAAAATCTGTCCTATCTAAACGATCTCCAGTCACTGTCTGGTTGAAAGTAAATGCTTCCACCGATTACGAATACTGAGGCAGTCTTTCTGAAACTACGTACGCCGTTCAAGCTGGCTTCCTTCAACGTTCGCACACTAATGCAGATCAGACAACAGATAGGGCTGGCTATGTCTTTGGAAGGTCTTAATGTTGACGTTTGTTGTCTATCCGAGACCCGTATTCAAGACTCTAGTGAAGTACTACAAATTCGTTCTCCATCTGTCACTTCGAAAAGCTTGTTTCACGTGCGCTTATCCGGGGAGTCTGTGGCATCTTCGTCTGGTCTTGCAGGCGTTGGTGTTGCACTAAGCGCTAGGGCTGAGGCAGCACTAATCGATTGGATCCCCATTAACAGTCGGTTATGTGCTGTTAGATTAGAAAGTTCCATCAAAGTGAGAAGAAACCGGCGTGAGAAACGGTGTCTTTTCGTCATATCCGCCTATGCCCCGACAGATTGCAGCTCGGATGCAATCAAGGATGAGTTTTACCATCAGTTAACAGTTCTTCTCCAGAAAGCGCGTTCGACAGATATTGTAGTACTAGCCGGAGACTTGAATGCACAGGTCGGGCGTCTAGGCACAGAAGAGAGTCGTCTAGGTGGCCGATGGGGACTTGTTGGTCGCAGGACAGATAACGGGGACCGTTTGCTGCAACTGTGCACAGACCACAACCTGTTTCTGGCTAGCACTAACTTCCGGCACAGTCATCGCCGGTGTGCCACCTGGCGTCCTCCCTCTGCATACCAAGCCTGGACTCAGATTGATCACATCGCGATCAGCTACCGCTGGCGTGGTTGTGTACAAGACTGCCGCTCCTTTTGGAGTACCTATCTGGAGTCTGATCATGCCCTGGTCTGCGCCAATCTCACCTTACTTTTCAGTGGCCGAAGGATTGACCACCACCAACGGATTGATATTAGTAAACTGGCTCCAACTTCTGTTGCAAGTAAGTATCGAGCGGAGCTAGCCTCTAGGCTAGCTACCACCCCACCGAAAAGTATAGACGAGCATTGGTTGCATCTTCACGACGCCATAAAATGGCGAGTAAAGCCGCTTGCGGCTTCGCGAAACGTCCCGCTTACAAGCACTGGGTTTCTTCTGGATCCTTACAACTGATCGAAGCCCGTCGGTCTACTCCGGGTGACCGTGAGTTTGACCACAAACGAAGGCCGTTACGTAATGAAATCGGGCAAAGCTTGTGTAAGGACCGGGAAGCCTGGTGGTCGGAGCGTCCCGACGTCTTGGACGATGGGCGGAATTTTTCGAAGGGCAGTTCAACTGGCCTGCTGCTCCGGCAACATCAACCAGCTTGTCCTGCTCCCCATGGCCGGTGACGACTGATCCACCAAACGAGGCGGAAGTCCGCAAGGAACTCCAACTCTTGAAACCTTATAAATCACCTGGCCCAGATGACTTACCTCCGGCTCTTTTTAAAGATGGTGGTGACTTTCTGGCTAAGGAACTGACTGCGTTGTTTGCAAAGGTTTGGGAGCAAGAAAGTGTTCCAACATCTTGGAATGAGTCAATAGTCGTCCCTATCTTTAAAAAGGGTTCACGTTGTTCCTGCAATAACTATCGGGGGATAAGTCTACTTTCGATCGCGTCCAAACCATTGACTTCTATCATTCTTCGTAGGTTGTTTAAAACCCGAGAACGATTGACTCGCGAGGAGCAGGCTGGTTTTCGTTCTGGTCGAGGATGCATTGATCACATGTTCACCCTCCGCCAAATGTTAGAACACCGTCATACTTATCGCAGGCCAACAATCGTAGTGTTTCTTGATATCAGGGCGGCCTTCGATTCGTTGGACAGGACTGTTCTCTGGGATTGTCTATTGAAGAAGGGTGTGCCTGAGAAGTTCATTAACATCTTAAAGGCCCTGTATAGGAACACCTCAGGCAGAGTGAGGGCATATAACCACCTTTCTCCCTTGTTCCATTCGAGCAGTGGGGTTAGACAGGGTTGCCCGATCTCACCATTCCTCTTCAACTTTGCCATCGACGACATCCTAGAAACAGCTCTGTTGGATGTAAGTAATGGCGGTGTGGATATGTTGCCTGGAGAACGACTTCTCGACCTTGAGTATGCGGATGATATTGTCTTACTGTGCGATAATGCCCAAGGCATGCAATCCGCACTTAATCAGTTGGCAATCAGTGTCCGCAGGTACAGCATGTGCTTTGCACCCTCCAAGTGCAAAGTACTCCTACAAGACTGGCAGGATTCTCATCCTGTACTCACCCTGGATGGTGAGGAGACCGAAGTAGTTGAGAAGTTCGTGTATCTAGGTAGCTATATAAGTGCTGGTGGTGTCGTGAGTGATGAGATTGATGCACGTATAATGAAAGCCAGAGCGGCCTATGCCAATCTGGGCCATCTTTGGCGCCTTCGTGATGTTAGTCTGGCTGTAAAAGGTCGGATCTACAACGCATCGGTGAGAGCAGTTTTGCTCTATGCTTGTGAAACCTGGCTTCTCCGAGTTGAGGATGTTAGACGTCTCTCTGTGTTCGATCATCGTTGTCTCCGAAGGATTGCCGACATACAGTGGCAACACCATGTTAGTAATGCAGAGGTTCGGCATCGTGTGTTCGGGCACAGAGACGATAATTCAATTGGTGTCACCATCTTAAAACACCGACTTCGGTGGCTTGGACATGTTCTACGAATGTCGTCCCAGAGACTTCCGCGTCGTGCATTATTTGCCGACCCTGGGACTGGTTGGAGAAAGCGGAGAGGAGGTCAGTGTATGACATGGTGTCGTGGCATGAAAGAGAGCTGCAAAGGGCTAGCTTCCGTTGGTCCTTCACGACTCCCTGGTTGGGGTCCGAGAGATAGTGCAACACAGTGGCTAGAGACGTTATCGGATATGGCTCAGAATAGAAGCCAGTGGCGATCCTGCTGCAACCTTCTTTTACTTTCTACATAAAGAGTGGTTCTAACTTTCCTAACTGAAAGAATCTTCTGGTTGTACATTTCAGCCCGCCTTATCTTTTCATCCTTTATCTACCTACTTTCATTATTTTGTGTGGCGCATATGTACCTGGTGCCCTTTTGTACCAATATATATGTGTTTAAATAAATAAATAAATAAATACAGCTAGTCAATCATATCATCAACTACACATACTAATATTGAATAACATATAGTTACATGAAATTCACTTGGTATTGTTTGGTTGAATCTTCCCATTGACGTTTAGGGCTGAGATTGATCAGTCTCTTATTGGCCACTATCCATCTTTGCTTATCATACTTGTGAATCAAGGCAATATCGAGGCAATACGCACAGTATGCACATATGCCAATTAGAGACTGATCAGTTGCAGTCCTAACACATCGATGGGAAGATTCAAACAAACAATACTAAATGAATTTAAGCTTTACCCCATCGCACAAGCAAGTGGCTATCAGGACTCAGTAGCTAAGTGGACAACGCGATGGCATTTGAAGTGAACGGTACTGGGTTCGAGTTCCACAGTGAATATCAACAAGTCTGAGATGCAGGTGCATTCAACTGACGAGTCCCAAATAGGACGAAACGCGCGTCCTGGATTCCACTACTATCCAATATCCATCTTTGCTTATATAGTTACATTGTTTAGAATATTCACATTGACAACTAGTCATCTGATAAATTCATTAATTATGCATTGATCTAGTTTATGTTAAAATGAGACAAATAAAAGAAAAATGATGAAGTTTGCAAACCATTGATCGAAACATCAATGTTGATATGTACCAACATTTATAAATTAAAGATTAAGTCAGATGATTGTTTTATTGTCTATGATCATACTTCTTTTTGTTCTCTAATCATTACAAACGAATTATTCATAGTGTACTCTAAGTACTATATCTTTGCTTTCTCTGTATTCCTTTAAATTTGTTATATGCATAGGTTATTTTTAAAGTATAGTTCACATCGAAAATTAACCATAGACAACCATTAAAATACAGGATATGAATACCCTGGATTCCATTCTCCTTGGAGTCACAAATACACACTGCTCAATAGTCGAATACTAGAACGATACAATTGTACAGTAGTGATTCCTTATTTTCAAAAGTTTCCGTACTAAAACCGTTAATTAATTTAAGCTATAAATATCAACAACTGACACAATCCTCATTGACTAATCATATGTTCACTAGTGATCAGTTTATAGAGATGATTCATGAAGTTCTACTGTGATGGTGTAACCAACTGAGTTCAAACATGTCGAGTGTAAATCAGTTATCCACCAATGACATCGCGACCTAGTTACGCACAATCATGAATTGATTGGAACTGGATATGTGAAGCATTGAATTTTGACTCAGTGGTGTAAGGGTTGATTGCTCGTTGTGAGAGCTGAAGATTTTAGTTCTGGTGCTCGTAATAGGATCTTAGATGCACACTATTGATGAGTGCCACACTAGTATAAAACAGTTATCCAATGCTTCTTGGATTTTAATGGTTATCTAAGTAAGATCAGTTTGTATTGTAAAATTTGAGATTATTCGTTGTAAGTTTATACAACATTATTAAAGTAAACTTGTAAAACAGAAATATTTCTTTAGAGGAGAAAAATCAACTGTAATACCATGAGAATTCGTTTTGATTTTCAAATGGAAAAATTCCCGAAAACTGTATGAGATAGTCGAAACAACGATATTGTCCAGTAATATGAAAATGGGCGAACTTATTTACATAGTTGAAATCATGAGTCAATTGAAGCTAGACCACCATGGGAAACCTGGAAGCACTAGACGGCAGTGCGCATCCACGACATTAACACCGTTAGATGCCGGCTAAGTGGTCTATCGGTTAAGCGCTCCGGCGAGAGACTGGTAGCTCCTGAGTTGGAATCTCGCGAGTGCGGGATCGTCGATGCGCACTGCTGAGGAGTCCCATAGTAGGACGAAACGGCCGTTTTAATGCTTCCAGGTTTTCCACGGTGGTCTAGCTTCAATGGACTCATGATTTCAACTATGAAAAATACTGAAATCTCCACAAAACCCCTTCTGAAATTATTTACAACTAATGTCTGTCAACTCTAACTTAATTTCAACTCTCTTAAACTTATTTACCATCGCATAAGACAAGAAATAAGCTTGTTCAATTCAATTAAATTAAGATGTGGAACATCTTAGCAAATCTGGATGCTAGATCAATAAACTCCGTAAATCACGATATTCAACCACGGGAACCATCCGAGGGACAGCCAAGAGCTACATATAGATCAGAATAAGCGTTTATTACTACACAATTGCAAGGCAGTCAGTCAACAAGTGTAATAAATTTTCTATACACGATAGTTTCGTGTATTGAATGTGTCTATCTTTGTTTATTGATCAGTCAAGGATCACTGCCACCCAAGACATGAAAATCATAATACTTTTTTTAGAAACTTATTCATATAGGCATAACAATCAATAGCATACCAGTTAACAGGCTAACATTTACACTGTAGTTACAGATCATTCAGTAGATCATGACTTTCTATAGATAAATACAGACTTTTACATTATACAAAAGTAGTAGGTAGACATTCATTATCTTAATCCTCATCTACTTATGCAAAAAAGTATTTTTGATTCACGTGGTACTCATAATGGTAATCGATTCGCCACTATCATTTGCCCTCATCTATCTCTCTTCTTTTTTGTAATGTTTGCTTTGTATGTTTGATCTATGTAACACCTATCAACAACATTCTTCAACATGTTCTGCCAACTTTTATTTATATAGTTGAAATAATGAGTCAATTAAAGCTAGACCACGATGGAGAACCTGGAAGCACTGGACGGCCGTTTCATCCTATTATGGGACTCCTCAGCAGTACGCATCCAAGATCCCGCACTCGCGAGATTCGAACCCATTTTTATTTAATCATAATTACCGTTGTATTGTCATTTACAATACAATTATTAATAATTAGCCATATAATTTTAACACTATTCAATCAAACATCTGACCCCTTATCAATTTGGTTATCCAACTAACTGTAATTTCACATACCACTTTTAACTGATAATTAGCATCGTCATAATAGTTACTTTTTGAAGTTGTTAGACAGATTGACCCGGTAGTACCATTTTAACACAGGTTTGACGTAATAGATTGATTATGGCTAGCGGTAAAATGTATGATCTGCATTTTGCCCTACTTTGAACTAGCCAGTTGAATGTATTTTCATGCAAGCACTGATACAAACAGCTAGATCTGAACTAAGTACATTTCGCTTTAAAAAGCAATCGTGTTATCCAATGAGAAATTACAAACGCTTACTACTAAGTTTACATCTGTTGAACACGTTAGTAGCTAGATGGACTCAGTAGTTAAGTGAATAACGCGTCAGCGTCCGAAAAAAATGTATTATATTCTATTCCCCCAAATGCCCTGGTATGTCCGAGAGTGGGGAGAGTCTGCTATCCCTCTCCAAATCCTCTCACATGACCACGCGTATATAGCCTCTACCAGCGAAGTCCTACTCACTGCCTTCTCGTGGCACTACTGTTGTTAACGAAATTGAGAGGACGAAAAGCGAATGTCCGACGCTTTAACTGGCCCGGTGGACACAGTTGTCCATCTATGGGAGTTGGAAAACCCTGATTTCAAACCAATGGTGCACATGGGCTGACTCCAGTATCCTGATGGAACAAATGGCGTATGAATGAATCGTTGGTCACCGGCTACTATAGGACTGCATCTCCTCACGATCCTCCACTGTTTTGTGGATCAGATCTTTAGGTCAAAGGCTCCGGGTGTGGCCCCCTGAGAAAACCACCTGCTTCAGTTTGGGCACCTAAGCAGTATCACAGTCGTCACACAAATCGAATGAGATTTGTGCGGCGCATATATATCTGGTGCCCTTTTGTACCAATATTTATGTGTTTAAATAAAATAAAATAAAACTATGCCCGCTGTGACGTTGGAAATACATACAATTGACGAGACCCAAGTAAAACGGAACGCTCAAACTTTATCCCAATGTTAGTCTATCACCTATCTATTTTATAAAATTGACATTAATCAGTAAAGGTAAAAAGTATATATCATAGACCTGAGAGTAAGATCCAAATCGATTAAGTATGATCCGACTCGACATTTGTTTTGATATTTAAAACTGAGAACACATTTTATTCCATAAACATAAATCAATATTAGTAAGAGTCAATCAATCAATCGACCAATCAATCTTTTACACAAACATCAATATGTTACAATAAATAAATCAATATTCAATACTAAATAATACTTTTTTTATTGTTCTCATAATACAAAACTACTGTCGCAGTGAACAAGAACACGAATTGGGGGGGGGGACAAACGAATGTATTTTAGCACAAAATATGAGAACCATATAGTGTATAGTTAATTTGCAAAATAACAATCAACTGTCTCAATCTTCACTTTTTCTTCTGTAAATATTAATTCATCTTCTCTGGTTTGATTTTTCATTCATTTTCATACCAATTGCGCGTCGTCCCAGTTTTGTCCTTATTGATCTTCTACTGAAATACATTCAATGCCCGACCATCGTTATATACTACTTATGTGGATATCAGTAATCCATACTACACTGTTACACATCACCATCATCATCAGTATTCTGAAAACGGATATAATCAGATCACTGTAAGGTTATATAGATATTATATAATACAATCTTTGTATACAAAAAATAAAAAAATGAGGTGTGTGCAAAAATGTGGTAAAATTGAAAGTACATATATCAGTGTTGTAGAAAAAAAAACAACACAACATACCAAAAAAATAAGTAAAAAATAAAGTAAACAAAAAAAAGAAAGAAAAAATTAAAATGATAATCAAAAGTAATCAATATGAAGTACATAGATACATACACACACACGCACATACACAAATCAATAAATGAATAGTTACTAACATCATTTAAGTAGGCACAAATTATTAAATTGATGAAGTTTAAGAAAGATTGGTGAATAGATTGATAGATAATTATTGATTATATCCCAACACAAGCTATTCAAGTATACATATACACATGAGCTTGAAAACATTAAATGCTGAAATGATAACAGAATCATCATGATCTTTGATATCAAGCTAAAGATTATTTCAAACAAACTAACTGATCTCATTCATTACAAATCTATGGGGTAATCTCTATCTATCTATCTATCTACACACACACACACACATGAAGAACAAGCCAAAGATAGTTGACAGTACAAACAATCTATTCACATGAAGGAATTATATCATTCTGCGTATATGTGTATCAGTATCAGTAATATCAATACTATTATTATGTTTAGAAAAATAACATGTCAATTCAGCAGAACCTATAATCTTTTAAACAACATTGAACTAAGCAATGAAAGAAAAAACAACTTAAACAATGAATCAATTCAAAAGAAGAAGAAAAAACAAGAAAAACGATTAAACAAAGAAGAAAAGAAAAAAAGGAAAAGAAAAGAAATAATACAAACATCATTTACCGATAGATGAACAGTGAATGGGTATACATAAATTGAATTTCACCAATCAATTTCATGATAATTTCATTAATAGTCAGTCGGTTAGTCACAACGTAGAACTTCGTACGTACGTACATCAGTTCGAGATGCAATTGTCGGTTCAAATCCCATAGTGGTAGAAGTAGTAAGAGTATAAGCATTAATGTGAAAGATTAGGGGTTTGAAGATGTTATTCAAAGGAGTACAAACTCAATGAAATAAATTTGGTAAGAGAAGAAAGAAGATTAATAATGATTGTTTGAAGAACTGGAAGATGAAGAAATACTATCTGTTTCAATAGTAACTATAGGAGATGATGATGAAGAAATATTAGTGATTGATGTTGATTTCTTATCAATTCCATGGTGATGATGATGATGTTGATTGATTGGAAGATTACTATCATTATTATTATTAGTAGTAGTAGTAGTACAACTATTGACAGGGTAATTTACATCATTAATAATATTAGATAAAGCAGTATAGTATTTTGGATAAGGCTTGAAAAGATATGAACATGGTAATAGCCAAGAATAAAATGGACCTACAAAGAAAACAATAATAATAATAATAATCTGATTAGTATATTTGGGCAATGAAACAATTGACAATACATATATATAAACAAACAACACTTATCTAATCAACTTAGTATTGTTTGTTTGAATCTTCCCATCGATGTGTTAGGACTGCAACTGGTCAGTCTCCAATTGGCATATGTGCATACTGTGCGTATTGCCTCGATATACCTTAATTCACAAGCATGGTTAGCAGAGATGGATAGTGGCGTCCTGGATTCCACTGCTAGCCACTATCCATCTTTGCTAACCATGCTTGTGAATTTAGGCTATATCGAGGCAATACGCACAGTATGCACATATGCCAATTAGAGACTGACCAGTTGCAGTCCTAACACATCGACGGGAAGATTCAAGCAAACAATACTAAATAAATTTAAACTTCACCCCATCGCACAAGCAAGTGGCTATCAGGACTCAGTGGCCGAGTGGATAACGCGATGGCGCTTGAAGCGAGGGTACCGGGTTCGAGTTCCACAGTGAATATCAACAAGTCTGAGATGCAGGTGCATTCAACTGACGAGTCCCAACTAGGACGAAACGCGCGTCCTGTTTTCCACTGCTAGCCACTATCCATCTCTGCTAAACAGTTATCTATTTTATATAATTATGATATCACCTATACAAGGAGTAACCCTATTCAATTTATTAACTGAATACAGATTCATGTAACTGGATCTCTGTTATATTCTAATTGTGAAGGCTAGTAGTATTACCTGGTTACTTAAACCGAGGTAGATGGAGTGATGTTTGAACCTGCGGTCAAATTTCTCAAAGTTACAACCAATTAACTGTGATAGAACAAACTAATTACAATTACTTAATGTCATACTCTCTTTTATAATCCAAATTATTTCTTATTGTACTCCTTTATTTACCTTACAGTGCACCTGCTAGAAAGCTAACTCATTGGTTAAGGCTTTTGATTTGACCTAGTTACCCAAACCAAGGTACGTGGTGTTGGGTTTCAACCTGAGACTAAATGTCTTAAAGTTAGAAGCCTTAGCCAATGAATCAGACCTCTAGAATGTGTGTTGTATGATAAGTAAAGAAGTACAATAAGAATTAATTTGGATGATAAAACACAGTATAACATTAAGTATTGGTAATTGATTTGCTCTTTCACAGTTAATTAGGTTTGTCAATACATGTAGATTTTACGTAATATGGCATATCGAAATTTGATTTGCCATAGTTTGACGAAATGAGCCACCTATTGTTATATCCTAGTGAAGAAGTAAGTACAGATAACTTCTGGGACCTATTAATGGACGGTTATTCTATATATCTCCTTATGGTTTAACTATTGAGTAACTAGATTGTGTATATCTATATTCCTCTCATTATAAGCTTCATTTTGACCTATGGATTATTATTATACGATTTATTGTTCCTAAGTTATACTCAGGTTATTGATTATTGTCTCCCATGTTCACAGCCACATTTGGCTTGATCTTGTACAAATATTATTTTCTATTTTATAGTGTGATACGAACTATCTGTCTGGTATATAAACCAAGTATGCTTGAAATAAATGATTCTCATAGATTCGCATAACAGAAGCTGTCATTGGTGTTATGGACTCAATTGGAAGGGCTAGGCGGACAAGGGACCAATAAGGACGTTAGACTACTCATACTGGTTGAACGTCATTGATTTGTCACAGTGTTAATATGAGTCGTATTTCGAATGGTGGATAATTCACGTGATAAAAGCCGGACATAAGATCAATAACGAATTAGCATACGGCCTTCATATTTTTTCAATTCACAACACTTATGGCACTGAACGATTGTCGTCCAAATAGGACGAAACACGAGTCCTTGATTTAATTGTTAATCACAGTCTATCTCTTCTACATAAAATTGTGACAAACTGCAAGCAAAGTATTTGTCAAAATATCAAGAATGGAGTAATCTAAACTAGTGCGAATTAAATCTACTCTTTTAAAAGTTAAAATAGTTAGGTTTTGAAACAGAAGAAACCTCGAGATCTCCACCTAAGTACCTATCCTACTTAATGAAGAAACCGTGCTGATGCAAATGATTATAGAAGACAAGTTAATTTAAGTAATTTTGCAGAATAAATTGTACTTCTTTGATGAGTAAGATAAGTGAACTTGGATAAAGATTTTTTTAGAATAGAACAAAATACAAGACAATAGGATATTGAGAAGATTTGTAGCTTAAGTGAGTGATTTTGATGTAGGTTTGTTCTCTGAGTTGGATAGTTTGGTCGTCGAGCTTTCATCATCCTTCTAAACCACATCATCTGCACAAACTTCGGGTAGAAGTAAAGTGTTTGAATTTCTCCACATGTGATTCACAGCTTGTCCTATGCACCTCGATGTTGAAAGCTCAACGACCAAACCATCCAGCTCAAAGAACAAACCTACATCAAAAACAATAGGATATTAATTTGTGTTTTACGAAGTGAAAATCCAAATTCAAAACACCATGTTATTTCTATGTTAATGATAAAACAAAAGATTTCATTCGAATGGATATGAATTGTAAGCAACAACAAAAAAAAGTAATAATAATTGATTATTACTTACCACTTCCAAAAACCTCACGAAACAGAGTTAACTTAGATAATTTACGACGAAATCCTCCACCAACAACACCACCGTTGCCGTTGCCATCTGGATAAGCTTCTGTATCGGATGAAGAATGTGGAATATTACCCGATATCCAAGCTTCAACTGCTGTTGTATCTTCAACAATCGACTTGTACTAATTTATCAACAATATTGTAGTTCAGTAGGATAAGTAAGGGAAAAAGAAAAGCAAGACTTTCATATTTAAATGTGATCAAAATTTTCCTAACATTAGATTCAATACTCAATGGATACGCTATAAACAGACTTAGTTCATATTATACCAGGCACACGATTCAATGTCAAATATAGAGAACCAGAGTATAGACTACATAAGACTTAAGGTGCACAAACCGAAACGCGGCATCATGAAATCATAGACCACTGAACTGAATCGCATTGGTAGATGGAGACTAATTAGTTGGGATTCACCTCGTAACTTCGACCTATGATTATGGAAGTTGAGTTACATGGATTAGAATTGGTCACAATGGCACAGGTAAATTCACTCTTTACCTCCCTTTAGATGTTGAGTATTTTATTTATTTATTAAACACGTAAAAATTGGTAAAAAGGGGGTACCAAAATATAGATGACACATATAAAGGGAACAGACAAGTAATGCAATGTAAAGTAAAAACGAATGTTACAGAATAGTTGTGATTATAACTTGTGAGAATGAGTATTGAAGCGAAAATAACTTTTCTAGTTGTAGTCATTATTTAATTTTTGTGAGCTAGGATACTATACGGATGCCCAAACCAAAGCAGGTGGTTTCCCTAGGGGAACACTCTCCAACCCTTTGACCTAGAGTTCTGATCCACAAGGCAGTGGAACCACGTTGGTAGATGCAATCTCATGGTAGCCGGTCATCAACAATTGGTTTATACGCTACTTATTCACTCAGGATCCTGAAGCGCATGTGAAACACTGGTTAAGAATCAGAGTTTCTCAACTCCCCTACGTGGATTCTCCGTACTCATTAAACCGGTTTAAGCACCAGACATTCACTTTTCATCCTCTCAATTTTGCAAACAACACCGATACGAGAAGACAGTGAGTAGGATTTTCCTGACAGGGGTTGTATGCGCGAGGTCATGTGAAAGCGTTTTGATAGAAAGAGAGAACTTCCTCGACCCACTCTCGGCTATATCAAGGCATTTAGGGGTAAACCTTCATCCCTAGTATTTTTTATGCATAACTTCTCGAAATGAATTCCCATCTATTTAACGTTTCTCACTATTATTTGTGCTACGGTTATTTCGACTAGTTTGATATTTATCTTGTTGTATCAATGTTGCTTTTGTATGCTAACTTGAGTTAGCACATATTTATGTCAGGCTCTAATATTGTTTCTGATAAACTATTTTATTTTATTTTATTTAAACACATATATATTGGTACAAAGGAGCACCAGATATATATGCGACACACAAATCTCATTTGATTTGTGTGAGGGCTGGGATACTGCCCAGGTGCCCAAACCGAAACAAATGGTTTTCTTAAGGGGCCACAACTGGAGCCTTTGACCTAAAGATCTGATCCACAAAACAGTGGAGGATCGTGAGGAGATGCAGTCCTATAGTAGCCGGTGACCAACGATTCATTCATACGCCATTTATTCCATCAGGATACTGGAGTCAGCCCATGTGCACCATTGGTTTGAAATCAGGGTTTTCCAACTCCCATAGATGGACAACTGTGTCCACCGGGCCAGTTAAAGCGTCGGACATTCGCTTTTCGTCCTCTCAATTTCGTTAACAACAGTAGTGCCACGAGAAGGCAGTGAGTAGGACTTCGCTGGTAGAGGCTATATACGCGTGGTCATGTGAGAGGATTTGGAGAGGGATAGCGGACTCTGCCCACTCTCCGCCGTACTAGAGCATTTGGGGGCAAACTATCCACCGAGTTTTCTACTTTTTTTCAAAAAAAAAGGTAAATACCATTAACATTAATATACTTTCATATTATACAAATAGTAATTTTAATTACCTGATCTGATAGAATAGCTAAAATAAATAATCCAAATAGACAGGAGATTGCTACAAGTATAATTGTATGAGCGCTGAATACAATGAACAAACAAACAAAATAATAAGGAAATAAAATATACCATAAATTTGCAAACTATATATATAACATTAATATTAAATATGAAGTGTTCCATCGATAATCTGTTCTAAGCATACCTTTAGCAGATAACAAAAATGATGTCCTGAATATCCAACTTTGTGCGCATGTATGTGTGCTATATACAACTGGCGAATTGACTAAAGCTAGAAGTGTAAACGATTGAATGCTGGATCAATGATTTAAAGGTTAAGCGTTCACTATGAGACTTGAATATTTTAGGTTTAATCAATAATCAATGGTGGGGTCGTGAGTGGGTACGATAGTCACGCGGACCCCAACCAAGTAGTCTGCATCTGCCAACATGGCTCAGACTAGAAGTTAGTGACTTCAAGCACTGATGCCATGTTTTGGTTTGGCCGCCCCTAACTCTCTTCCAACCATCCCCTACACTAGCCAGCATTGAGCATCGTGGTAATCGATGTTCAGGCATACGTAAAGATGGACCTTCCGTGTCCACCAACCCAATTAAAGCGCCGTACATTCGTTTTTCGGTGATCATGAAAAAAAGAAACACATTAAAACAAAATATCTAATAAGAAAGTTTGGTATTCAATGCTTACACAACTACAACATCTGCATTAGATACATCTTCTTTTAAACCGGCAGAGATCATAGCACGACATATAAGTACCAGTATCAGAGCATATACACAAAGAATGCCTGAAATCAGAATACATAAAAAATATAACATATTCTTTTTTAATAAAAATGCAATTAATTATTCAGTGAGTATGTACAGACTAACGTAGTCGGCTGTGAGCCATTTTGTTAGTATGGAGTTAGAGATAAAAAATCCTGCTGACCGGTTAGGTGTGATGTGACTTGAACATACAGCCTCATTGACTGATTTAATCATAAAGTCGTTGTTTCATAATTCGTTAATAAAATTTTACACAAACTATTTGTTTCTCTAAAACTGGAGATATACAATTATTGTTAAGAAATAGGAGAGGGAATGGAGTGCATCATAGGATATAAAGTTCAGTTAGAAATGTAACTTGAAGTTTCCCGTAGTTTAGTATGTCTCTTTCACTTCGATAAAATAAAATGTAATTAAGGTAGGATCATCACTGGTTCCTGTTCTTAGTCATGTCTGACGAAAACTCAATTCATTAACGTGTAATATCTCTAGGACTCAAACTCAGTTTCCTTTAAAATTCTTCCTATATTAGCCAATCACCACACATCGAGCTAGGTAATGGTTTGATGAATATAACCCTTTCCACAACAATATCAGTCTGTAAAGATTCACTATCTCATCAATCGACTTCCCTTCTTCGTTCGGTACCGCTCCTCTATTCTCAGCACTGATCATCACTCGATCGTTAGACGATGCATGAACAATACTTCGAAAATACTTATGATTGAAAAAGTGCAGTTTACGCTTGTCTACTACTTCTACAGAACATGATTTAAAACTATATAGTAATTCTAATGCAGGAAAGGCTGTTGAGTAGCATACTTGTTGTTTAGTTGGGAGAGATGAAGATTTCACTTAGTGCTACTTATGTTGGGAGATTTAATTAGTATTTAACACGTCGGAAGTGGAATGTCTGAGAGCCAATTAAAAGACGAGAGAAGGAAACTGAAGAAAATTAAGATAAGAACAGGAATGAAGGAACGATGACGCTTGTAATAGATTATTAAAATATGTGTAACTGATGATTTTCACCTTTTACTAAACCACTGTGGGATTGTGCACTAAACAATAAATTGGGTTTCTCCCACCTGAGGTCTCGTTCACTACACACGTACCACTTCACATTCAATTCATCCTGTCTAATGTTTCTGTTAAATTACTAGGTCTATAACGTAGCTGCTGAACATATTTTAGTCGGTGGTTCAATTATTATGTTCGTCAATTTATTCACCTTAAAAATTATGATTTAGACCAGACATTTTTATATGCCTGGTGAATCAAACATGGGCCAAAAGATAAGCATAAATTATTGGTCAATATTTAGTTTCTTTTCCTAGTGAATTGTTGTGTAGGTCAAACCCAACATTGATTAGTTATTGTTTCCAGACGAACTGATTGATAGTTAGACACGTCTGATTGTTATTTATATTTTCCTACCCTCTGTATTTCATGTACTAATTAATATTTGTGTTAGTCAAATGGACAACGTGTTCTTGATCCGAGTTGAGCTGATGTATGGATGATTATTTGGTATAGTGCAAGTCAATCGTATACATAATAGAATCATTCCATCATTCATCCTAGGCAAGACAACGTTTCAGAAGAACCTAACATTATTTCAGAAATATATATATATATATATATATATATATATATATATATATATAATGAGTGTATATGAATTCCGCGATCGGTTTTAGTCAATAAAGCTAACTCCTCAAATATCCATTTCCCAACACGAGTAACTGGTCTGGTCTGGGAGCGAGTACAGGAAGCCGTTATACAAGTAGAAGAATCAGACGATCACACAACACAATATACTTCCTGTGTATAAATTTGTGAATTTTTGAACACTCAGATGTCTATTACTTACAAGTGATATATTGCTTAACTAATCACAGTGTTGAATAAAAATGCAGGACCATCACAATTACGCTTGTGACGAGGTTAAAAATAAAAATGAACGCATATAAAAGTTGTCAAAACGTTACACAAATAAATACGAACACTAATCAATATACAATATGGGTTTAGTTTACATTCGGAAATTAATAATATAACTTAAACAAACAGGTTTACAGTCATTAATGAAAAATGAATTCAATGTGTGTAAGATCATGAAGGATAATAATTTGTGAACGACAGCCCTGAAATATCCTGGTATGGCCGAGAGTGGGGAGAGTCCGCTCTCCCTCTCAAATGGCCACGCGTATATAGTCTCTGACAGGAAAGTCCTACTCACTGCCTTCTTGTGCCATTACTGTTGTTTACGAAATTGGGAGGATGAAAAGCGAATGTCCGGAGCTTTAATCGGGTTGGTGGGCACGGAATGTTCCCCTAGGGGAGTTGGAAAACCTCATTCCAAACCAACGGTGCATATGGGCCCCAGTATCCTGAGGGAACAAATGGCGTATAAATCAATCGTTGATCTCATTGTATTGTGCCTCCCCACGGAAATCTTTAGTAAAAGGCGAAAGATTTATCCGCAAATGAGGAGACACCAGAGTTACCCGACCGTTGCTGCTACCTTGACGTGGTGGTCGGGCTTGCCTATCGTGATGATCCAATCGAGCTATGCTGGCTGGAACAATCGTTCCTCAAGGTCCTACCATGCCAGACAGGTCGGTTGAGGAGCGGTGAGACTAAAAGCAGCAATCCCAAGGTCCGAAGGCGAAGTCGTACTGCTGACTGTACAGAGGTGTGACAGCAGTAAGGTGTTTCCTTCAGACAACCAGCATGACAGCGATGCTGCCTAACCACAAGGAGGGGTGGGGTTAGAAAAGGTCGACCCTAAAAATGCACACCTCGCCTTATCCCACGGATTTCCGTCTCCGGCGGTAAGGACTTTTGAAGAACGGAGCTAACACGTCAAAAATCCCCCACAAAAAGGCCGTGCGTGACCGGCCTCAAGCAGATGTCCCTTGGGCACTGCGGTCACGCTCCCAGGTCATTATGACCAACACTAATCCAACTTCTTTTTCAGGTCCCTCAAGAAATACCCTTCCACGGTGTGGGCAGCCGGGAAGTGATACTAGCCCTCATACCCTTAACTGCACACAAGACCAAGTTTGTCGCTTTCAAATCCTTCCTACACCTAATAAATCTGTTATCTCCACGACTAACCCTTCCCACGTCCTTTTATCACCTCGCACCTCTAGGGCAAACGATTCGAGTAAACAGAATGTTATTCCTGGTCTCCTGAAACCACGCTCTAAACTACATATAGGAACTTTTAATGTCCGAACATTGTGCCAAATAGGACAACAGGCTTCCTTAGCTAGGACTCTAGAATCTTACACCATCGATGTGTGCTGCGTCTCCGAAACGCGCATACAAGATCCGAGTAGTGTCATTCATTTGACCTCACCTAATCAAAATAAAGTTTCATCTCGATACACGCTCCGTGTATCTGGAAGCCCTGATGCTGCTTCCCGTGGCCTCGCTGGAGTAGGTATAGCATTAAGTCCTAGGGCAGAACTAGCTCTTTTAGACTGGATCCCAGTAGACAGTCGTCTATGCGCTGTCCGAATAAACGGATCAGTGAGGACCCGGAAAGATAGGGAAACTCGTCGTTGCCTCTTCGTCGTCTCTGCTTTCTCTCCCACTGACTGCAGCTCAGACGATATAAAAGATGAGTTCTACAGGAAACTTTCTGACCTTCTCCGAGAAGCTAGGCGTTCTGATGTAGTAATTGTAGCAGGTGACTTTAATGCTCAAGTAGGTAAACTAAGTGAAAGGGAAAGACACCTGGGTGGATCTTATGGTGTCATGGCGAAAAGAACAGATAATGGCGACCGTCTGTTGCAGCTGTGCTCAGATAACCGCCTATTTCTTGCAAATACTAACTTTAAGCATAAGGAAAAACATCTTTTGACATGGCGACCCCCGAATTCGTCCCAACGTTGGACCCAATTAAATCACATCGCTATCAGCCACCGATGGAGGGGCTCGATAGAAGACTGTCGCTCATTCTGGGGCACATGTTTAGATTCAGATCATGCTCTAGTGCGATCATGTATCTGTCTGCGTCTTACTGGTCGTAGGAAAGACACTGTAGGGAAGCCTCTAAGGGTTCTACTTAATGATAGGCAAGCTAAGAATATATTTCAGGAACAACTAGAAAAACAGTTAGGCAGCCATGTAAGTTGTGTCCACCCCGAGGCAGCGTGGAATGACATCCGAAAAGCTGTGGAAATAGCAGTGATATCCGCTAGTAAGGTAAACCATAAGGTTAGGGAGAAACAATGGATCTTGGCAGCATCTACCGCACTGATAGATGCTCGTAAACTCATCCCACCTGGCTCTGAGCATAACGAAGAGCGGAGTCAACTTAAGCGCAGGCTTATAAGAAGCCTACGTAATGATCGTGAACAGTGGTGGGTAGCGAAAGCAAGAGAGATGGAAAAGGCAGCGGCAATATGTAACAGTAGGCAGCTATTCAGACTCGTTAAAGAAACCGGTATTAGGAACCCGAATATCAGTGAAACCATCTCAGATAAAGATGGGCATATTATTTATTCTCAATCCAGGAGATTGGATCGATGGGCAGAACACTTTAGGGATCAGTTCAACTGGCCTTCAGCCACGCTTCAATTACCCACGATCCTCAGTCGTCCTGAATGGCAAATTGACGTAAGTCCTCCAACCCTCTGTGAGGTTGAAAAAGCTATAGGAAATCTGAAGCGAGGGAGAGCAGCAGGCCCTGACAGGTTGACCCCTGAGATTTTTAAGGATGGTGGTCCAGTACTAGCAGTGAGATTGACTGAGGTCTTAGGTAGAATCTGGGAACTGGACGTAATTCCATCTGACTGGTCCCAATCACTGATTGTGCCAGTCTATAAGAAAGGACAAAAGTCCTCCTGTGACAATCACAGAGGGATCAGTTTGACTAACATAGTGTCTAAAATATTAGCTTCAATAATACTAGGTCGCCTAACCAAAGCTCGTGAAGAGCAGACTAGAGAAAACCAGGCTGGTTTTCGACCTGGACGTGGTTGCATAGGCCAGATATTCACCCTACGTCAGGTCCTAGAACATAGACTAAAATTCAGACGTCCCACAATAGTAGTATTTCTTGACCTTAAGGCGGCATTTGACTCCGTTGATCGTGGGGTTCTATGGCAATGTTTGTCACTGAAAGGAGTACCGAAGAAGTACATTAACCTCATAAAGGCTCTCTACTCGAACACAACTGGTAGAGTTAGAGCCTATGGCGAACTGTCATCAGAACTGATTACCACAAGTGGAGTTCGTCAGGGCTGTCCACTCTCACCATTCTTGTTTAACTTTGTCATTGACATACTTTTAGAGATAGCACTTTCATCAACTAAACCTCCAGGAGTTGAACTTTTACCAGGAGGCTCACTTGTTGACTTAGAATACGCCGACGACATAGTTTTACTCGGTGAAGACGCTGACAACATGCAGAGTCTTCTGACCACCATAAGCAACAATGCAGGCATGTTCGGGATGCGATTCTCTCCCTCGAAGTGCAAAATGTTACTTCAGGATTGGGTTGCAGCGACACCTGAACTAATGATAGGGAGTGAAGTAGTTGAGCGTGTAGACCACTTCACTTATCTTGGGAGTCTCATCAGCCCTTGTGGTCTGGTGTGTGACGAAATCTCAGCACGGATACAGAAGGCTCGCCTAGCTTTCGCCAACTTGCATCATTTGTGGCGTAGGCGAGATATCCGTCTAGCGACCAAAGGACGGGTTTACTGTGCAGCAGTTCGCTCCGTCCTACTTTATGGCAGTGAAACATGGCCGGTAAGAGTAGAGGATATTCGTAGGCTACTAGTGTTCGATCATAGGTGTCTTCGAAGCATTGCTCGTATATCCTGGGACCACTGGGTAAGTAATGAGGTTGTTAGGAAAAGAGTACTAGGTAGGGATGGCAAATCGATTGATGAAGTAGTGAAACTTGATCAGTTGAGATGGCTGGGACATGTGTTACGTATGCCCGACCACCGACTGCCCCGACGTGCAATGTTTCATGGTGTAGGAGTAGGTTGGAAGAAAGCTAGGGGTGGCCAGACCAAAACGTGGCACAAATCAATGAAGTCACTGACAAGTGGACTGGGCCATGTTGGTGTGTGTAGACTACCTGGTTGGGATTCGCGAGATGACAGCAACCGATGGTTAGAGACCTTGAATGACATGGCTCAAAATCGTTTGCAATGGCTCAGGTGCATCCACTCTTTGTGTTCTACCAAATTCTAATCTTCTGAATTCCTCATGTCTTTATGTTTTTCTCTTTCCAAATTTATTTCACTGTGTTATACTCCTTCAATAATTTCTTCAAACCCTAATCTTTTGGATTTCTGATTATACTCTTACTACTTCTTCCACTATGGGATTTGAATCGACAACTGCATCTCTGTGCTAATGTGGTATGGCAACTCGAACTGATGTACGTACGTACGAAGTTCTACGTTGTGACTGACTGACTGACTGACAATCGTTGATCACCAGTTACCATGGGACTGCATCTCCTCACGATGCTCCACTGCCTTGTGGATTAGATCTTTAGGTCATAGGCGCCGGGTGTGGCCCTCTAAGAAAACCATCTGCTTCAGTTTGGGCACCTGAGCAGCATCAAAGCCCTCACACAAATCAAATGAGATTTGTGTGTCGCATATGTATCTAGTGCTTTCTTGTACCAATATTTATGTGTTTAAACAAATAAATGAACAAAAATAAGTCTAATACTAAATTTCCAAAGTGGGGATTTATATAGAATATAGTAATTTTAATAGTCGAATTCATGAATCGATCTCATCAAGATTGTGGAAGTGCACTGCTGAGGGGGAGTCTCATAGTAAGACAAAACAGCTGTCCAGTGCTTACAGGTTTTCCATGATAGTCTAGTTTCAATTGACTTATCAATTTAATCACTATTAGAGAAAAAACTAAATTTAACAATTTCCAAAACCTGAACAATGAATTTTTCATTTATGCATTTGAATGCATAAATAAACAGTTCATGTCAAAAGTGATAAGTTTTGCTAATTGAATGCTATACTCGGATCCTAAGCTCGTCTTGTAACCCCCAAGCTAAATCTACAGAGCGACTTGAACACGAGAGAAAAGACACAAAATATGTAAGAAGCACTTTACTCCAAAGGTTCATTTGTGTACAGAAAATATAGGGTTTTATAGTAGTTTAGAAACCCTTAGATTTTCCTGAAAATTCTACAATGCTACTAAACATAGTAGCAGTATACTAAATCAGTCAATCAGAAACTCTACATATGACACTTCACTTTCGTGATGTTTCTAGCAAAACTTCTAATCAAACGCTGATTGTACAAAATGTTTCTTAGTGTTTCCTGAGTTTTTCTTGTCTATTGAGAGAGGATTTTTGGATTACCCCAACAAAAAGCAACAGTGTACAATATGTAATCAGTGTAATTAAAAGTAAATCACATTTTAATGATTCAACATTTATGTATATCTATGTATAAACTTACCGACATAAATTAAAAATTGAATAAAATACTTTTGATTACATTCACCAACACAATTATTAATCCTGTAAGGTTAATAAAAAGAGAAAGAAAAATGTATTACATGGCAACAAATCAATCACCTTGATCAGTAAGTTTTATATTTACAATACACTTGAACATGAATGTTATAAGCCAGTAACGGAGCACTTTGAAAGCATCTTAATTCAATAAATGATTCAAATGACTGGTTCACAGTCTCAAACAGAATACTAAATAACCAAGAGATCACTCAGTATTTTGTTTGAATCTTCCCATCGTTGTGTTAGGACTGAAACTGGTCAGTCTCTAATTGGCATATGTGCATACTGTCAATGCCAATTAGAAACTGACCAGTTGCAGTCCTAACACATCGATGGGAAGATTCAAACAAACAATACTAAATGAATTTAAACTTCACCCCATCGCACAAGCATGTGGCTAACAGGACTCAGTGGCCGAGTGGATAACGCGATGGCGTTTGAAGTGAAAGGTACTGGGTTCGAGTTCAGAGTGAACATCAATTCTGAGATGCAGGTACATTCAGCTGACGAGTCCCAAATAGGACGAAACGCGCTTTCTCGATTCCACCGCTAGTCACTAGTTACAGTTTATGGGAATCAAACTTTATCATTTTATAAACTGGGATACCCATCGGAAAGAGAATAACTCATGTCTCTAATTGGACCAATTAAGCGTCCAACCATCACCAGTAACCTTGAGTACCAAATTCCCACCAGTCCTTCGTACACAAGCATCTCCTTATGTCACGCCCAAAAGTCAGAAACTAGACTACACCGTATTCATGTTTCGAACTTCCTTAGTTACGGCTGTTAACCCTCGAGCAGGAGCATAGGCCGCCCACCAGCACTTTTCATCCAACCCTGTTCTGGGCAACCCTTTCCAGTTGCTATTCATCCTTTTCATGTCTGTTTCTAATCCTCGACGTAGTGTGTTCTTCAGCATTCCTCCCTTCTGCTTCCCTTTAGGATTCCAAGTTACGACGTGTAAAACGACTTGACTGCGGCAACAAGATTTGTAAAGTGGCATTCCGTTGAAGTTGACAGTTTTTATTCATCAGAAAGTAGGCACTCTATAGAATGATTCATACGTTTTTTATTAGTTTAAGGGTAATGAAGACAATTTAACACCCAAAAGAATTATTACCTCAGACCATTCAGAGCGGTTAGGTTTAACAGCAATGAGCCACTTGCCTTTCTTCATAATTGGAAAATATTTTTGAATTATTTCGATATTATTAATGGCGACTCGACGGTTGTTAAAAATAACATGTACTGATATTACTGGTTCGATTTGCAGATTTCCTATATCTACAGGGTTATTTGGAGGTCTTTTAGTGTATTAGATGTTCTTTGGTATGAGTTGTGATTTTACGAGAAGACTCTCCAATATGTGATGCATCACAGTCCGAACATCTTAGTTTACGGACACAATTCTGTGCCGAAATGATGAGAATTTTATCTTTTATTTGGACTAAATTATTTCGAAGAGTGTTTGTTGTTCGTTTATAAAATGTCTTAATTTTGTGTGATCTAAGGAGTCGTTGTAGGTGTTAAGTTAAACCTTGGTAATGACACTTACCACTAATACCGTTACTAATTATACCATACTGGCATTTCTCTGTGTAGATGTTGTGTGATAAATCAAACCGGTGCACATGTTCCAGGATTTACGTTGTGTACGACTGACTAACTGAACTCTGATGGATGTTGTTGGTAATATCGTGTTCGCTGAGCTGCATGATCTGACACTGCAGTCTGTGCTGACATTTTTCAGAAGGACAGTGAAAACTTTGGTATTGAACTATTCAGTTCATCAAACCCCATATAAAAGAGTAAAAGATATTTATGATACAACTGAGGAAAATATTTTTCTAAAAAGCACGATGTATAAAAGGGAAAAACTTGTTTGTCTAAACACATACATATATCACTAACCAGGGACAATGGTGATCCATTCGTCTTACACATCGTCGACAAATTCTGCAATGATGAGCTCTCGGTGGCCTATGTATTCCACATTTATTACAAGTGGTCCATCCATCAGGTTTCTGTATATAAGGTTTAAAAAAGTGGGGATATCAATTTCAAGAACAAAGATGTAAAATATACCTGTAAGCCGTAATTCAGTCAGATGTAATGTAGAACCTGGACATGAATATTTCACTCCAAGTTGATACACTCCATTAACATAGATGAAATATTCAGAGCATATCCTACAGCCAAAAAAGTAGTACAGTATTAGTGCTAGTAATGTCCGTAACAAACCAATTAAATAGCTGCTTAAACACCCGCCGCGTCAACCTGGTCTGACGTGTCTGTAGATTATTCCTATTGCATGTGACCTGCTAATTGAAGGACATTATTATCATATCATATTAGTGTGGCCGCAACTCATATTTTTTTATTCATTTCGATAAGACACGCAGCACTGGTCGGCATATTTGTGCGTTTCACTAAATGACTATAATTCCTTTAATTATTGTACTAATTGAATTTTTTAGGCCTAGAAATAGATTAATTTTAAAGCCAAGTTGTTCTTATTCTTACTATAGCTTTTATACAGGCTATGGGTCGTCACTGCAGCGTTTACGGTTCCGGTAGATTGTCTGTAGGACAAATTAGATTCTATATTAGTGGTAATAGGATAGATTAAGCTTCGAAGATATGAGTTATGTGTGTAAAATGAATCAATAGCCGACTGACTTAATCAAAACCAACTGAAAAGTATAAAAATAAAGCATTACCATTCCCTTACAGTTTTATCACGTAATAGGTGTGCTAGATACAAGTAAAGACCAAGTTCCAGCACTGACTATGTTATAGAACGGTTGCATAAAAAACCCACTTAATTAGCTTGTGGACATTCATTTAGCTTGATTATTTCTGTTATAAACTGTTAGAAGTCCTTTTTCTTTAATGTCCCACAGTAGCGAAAACATACATTAAAAATATACAAATCTCCACAAATTACATAAATTATTGGTAATAGTATGACTACTACTGGTGAGTACTTTGAGATCTCTTCAAAGTTTAATCAAAAGCTGTGCCAAAAACAAGAATGATGTGATTATCCATCTTTAATGTTGGATAGAAATTGAACCATGTAGTAAAATAGCTAAAGCTGAAAACCGAGATAATTGGACTTCAATTAGTTGATGGAATGGTTATCTGCTGGGATAACCGGGTACGTAATAGTGAGGTTAGACGCAGGGTATTAGGGAATGATGGTAAGTCAGTTGATGAGGTCATGAATCTTCATCGACTGAGATGGTTGGGCCACGTGTTACGTGTGCCTGAACACAGATTACCACGAAGCGCTATGCTGACTAGTGTAGGGGATGGTTGGAAGAGAGTTAGGGGCGGCCAAACCAAAACATGGCATCAGTGCTTGAAGTCACTAACTTCTAGTCTGAGCCATGTTGGTAGATGCAGACCACTTGGTTGGGGACCGCGTGACTATCGTAATCAATGGTTTGAGACTCTAGGTAACATGGCTCAGAATCGATCACAATGGCGTCGATGTACACACTCTTTATCTTCCCTTAAACCTTGAGATTAAAATTGCTTCATAACTTTCTTCCTTCCTATATATCCTTATATGCTACCTTTCTTTTATATACTACCACCACTAAATTAATTACTTCTATGAATCCGGTGTTCATCTTGTTGTGCTAACGAGGTATGGCAACTTGTACCGACGCATAAATGTGCCTGGTCCAACGTTGTCGCTGACTGACTGTTGTAATGGTATTGTGTACTTTAACACCTAAAGGTTTTCGACTTGATCTTGAACGAAGTAGTGGGTAAGTAGCGCTGAGGTGTCCTAAACTAGGAAGATCTGCACAATGATTTGTGGTTTTCAGCGGATTACCAACTGTAATCAGTCTCTAAAGAAAACCATCTTCCAATAGACCCGAATGCTTACCTACCCCTACCAGTCAACCGTTCATATTTTCCAACTATTAATTTATTTAGATAACTTATTGACGTATTAGTGTTTCTTAATTGTAGCAAAATTCACTTAAAACTTTCATTTGGGATTGGTGAGGTGTGGTAGGGCATAAATTAATGAGTGATACTAACCCGTTTACAATAAGTAGACAAAGCTGAATGGGTTTTTATAGCATTCTGTATTCTGAAAGCCATAAAGTTTGATAAACACACGACAAACTATTCAGAAGACTGTATGTAAAAGAAGAAAAATTACCTGAACACTAGCTAACTGATCAGCAGTATACCGATGCAAAGGTATCAGTCCTGGATCCGTTACGGCAGCACATATATGAGAAAATAATAGTAAAGAAGCCACTATATTAAAGCATATCGTATTTAGAATAGCCCAAAAGCTGTAAAGAAATGAAAAATGATGGAAAAGGGGCATGAGAAATTGGCCTTTAAAAAGTGAAAACAATCTTGACGATGAATCACATTCCGAATAATTTACCCATGCACAAACCACATCAAATAAATGATTTAACTGCGCAAAAACAGAAATTTCTCAGCAATTATAATGCAGTTGAACAAGAAAACATTTTTGGGACATACTTTAAATCAAACTGGTGAAGTCAGTGGAATAGTCTTGTGGTGAACGAGTACAGCTAATAATATGACTAACAATTACTAAAATATACATATATGGTAGCTGATATATTCCAAACCCAACAGCTACTCAATAGAGGTGGGTTGAGGTTTATTGTTAAGTATTAGTTCTATAAGTTATTGAAATATGGGAAGGCAGAAGCGAACAACTATAGTGAACTTTCATCTGAAATATTCACAAATAGAATTTTCCATGACAGCTTCAGAGTTAGTGTCATATTGTTATGCCTGAAACTAAATCGATTCCGCGGTAACGAACGAAAGCCAATGACTCAATGACACGATAAGCTATTCTAATCGGTTGTCCCAGGCCCCGCTAACCAGATGAAGAAGTCCAAGTCAAGTAGGGGAATATATATATTCCGTAAGCAGCAGAGTACAAGCAATCAAATAAGGGAAAAAGTCAAGCGCATTTATACAGTAACAAATTGTCCTTGAGCACCATTAGTAAATAGCACACATAAAGAAACAAAGGACCAATAGCGGTTAAGATAGTTTACAGGTGGGAAATATGACGTGAAGGTAAAAAGAGCGCTTTTGGCGCGAAAACAGCTAAATTCAAATTTTCAAAATAAAACTACAAGATTAAGCCATTTACCAAGTAAGTTCTGGGGATTTGACATCCCCAACACATATATATATATAAACCAGTTGATTTTACAGCACTTCCTTTTTGATACCAGGAAGAAATAACTCTAAAACTTCGGGTGAGTCCGCTGTAGCTTCTCGAGCTACTCAATTGCACGTTTTAGAGAAAAGCCATTTGGAGTTTGTTTTTTGTCACTCTTCTTTCCACTAAATGATAGTTGCTGCAACTAGTGGTTGTCACACCACCCGGAAGAGGTTTAGTTGGTCGTATTAAACCAGGACAAGATGTGAAGCATGATAGAAGAGGAAATTTAAACAATTCATAATCGGGAGAGATAAATTTAAACCATAATGAAGATAATATGCAGGTGAATGAGAAAATAAAAGATATTAAACCGCAATGCAAGAAGTGAAACTAATGAGTGAAATTTAAAACTGTTTAACATTGCCACTTATTTTTAAGAGACTGAAGATCAGTCCGTGAATTTTCACGCGACCGATTGATATTCGTTTGAAACGGTCAACTGGCGAGACCAGTTAGGTCGGCTAGAAGGGATTTCTACAAAGAACAGATGCGTAGTGGATAAGGGTAGCAAATCACTTGAACGTTTTGTCTCTGATAGGTGTTTTTGCAGAAACTTCCTCGTGGATCACCAATGTCCCTTTATTGTAATATTAGCTTACTGGGGCAGTTGGACTACATAAGATAGTGATAAGGCTAATCCTTTTCCATAACTGGGAACCATCCTGATTCTCGGAACCCATCCACGTATGTCTTTGGTCCGTATCATTAAATGTCTTTGAACTTTGACAGAAAGACTCGTTTTATCGCAGGAAGTGCAACACTACTGTGGTTTTTGAAGTGAGGCCTCATAAACATAAATAACGTTCCGTACAGAGCATAACAAATTTCCCAAGGAAGAGATAGAGAGTAGAAAAGTTCATTCTCACATCTCCCATATAATTGCGTTGGTCTAATCTCCCTGTAAACAGTAGGCTAAGGTTACGTTCTGCAAAGGCATTAAGGAGGTGATCATAAAAGACATAAGTTGACCGTTGAGTTATGTGAAGTACATGTGGTATCTGGGATGGTTGAATTTCAGTTCATTCCTTCTTTCCAAAGACGAGAGGTTACGTTAGAGCTCTCGCAAATTTTTAAAGTCTAGTGAATTTTCGAAGTTTGACATATCCGGCAAGAATAAAGATAGGCAAAACAGGATCTTATCGTCCATAAGTAGAAGAAACCAAAGCAAGAAACAATTCAGTACAGTTATTTAAGAAACCTCGAATGTTGTAACCACAATCCGCCCGCAATTTCGACACTGATGCAGAACACTAGCCTTACAAATGGCAGACGTGAATCAGCAAAGTATATCTATTTTGAACTTTCTATTGAAGCTAAAGAACAGAAAGTGAGTTCAAAGGTATGCATTTACCATAAGGAAGTTGTGACAGGTAATCTCATTGGGTGGGTATGAGTAAACGGACGCTTTAGTATGACTACCTGGTTGTTTCACCTTTAAAAAACCTTGCCTAAAATTTCCCCTTTATGTTTGAAATGTCGCCGAGCGCTTTATTTTTCACTTAAATATACTCCAGATTGTCTACCTTTTGCTTGATTGTCTTATGAGTACTAAGTAAATGGAACAAATTTTCTCAGGTCTTAGGTTCTAACTGCACAAGATATCATTCGACAGCTACTATTTACTGGTTACTAATTAAATCTAAGCTTAAATCCTTTAGGACAATAATACTTTGGTAACAGTTTAGTAACAAAAATGATTTAAAGTGAAACAATTACCATTACCTGTTTTTGAGAACCGGAAGCACCAAGTAAAATACCACAACATAATCCGAGTATAATACAAGTAAGTGAGTTATCAAGACACATGCTACACCACATGGGTCAAGCCTGAAAACCATAACCCCTCATAACTTTCGGTTCTGGCGCTTTGACAAACTTTACTCAGCGAGATTCAATATCTCGGTTAACCAATAACCAGAATCATCCTTAATAGCTCGCATAAACCTTTTCTTTTCTATGAGCCCTTGTCTCGGTTTTAAAGTACGGTTTAATATTCTTGGTAGCATTCAGTGACGAACAACTAAATACTCAACTACTCTACTATTGAATTCGAGTAATTTGATTTTTGCATGCCTTGAGTACGGACGAATACGTTTATTTCATAGTAGTAGACCTCCTGAAACCAGATGTCATCGCATTATCTAAAGGCTGTCTGGTTTGTGTGGGAGTAAAAAGTACCCCAAAATAACTAGTTCCTTAAAGGGCTCGACATTAGTCTCGGCTGTTGGTTTGAGAGACAGGTCTCCCACCCTTATCCATAAACTTTTTTTCACTCCAACAATACGGTTTCACAGAAGGTCACCCTTGTATAACCAGCCTGCTGACTGTGGTAGACAGATGGAAAGCCATCCTTGATCTCAGGGGGAAGGTTGACACTATATACTGTGACTTTCCAAAAGCTTTTGATAGGGTCAACCATATATGTCTTGTCGATAAGCTTAAACGATTAGTATCAAATCGCATTTCATTGATTTTCTCACTTTATATCTAAGAAATCGACATTTTAAGGTCAAAGTTAACTTCACTTTCTCTCAGAACTTTCTTAGTATGGTCCCCCAACGCTCAGTACTAGGACCTCTTCTTTACTCAAATAATGTAAACGACCTTTCACAGCAGGTATCTTCAGATTTATTACTTTTCGCTGATGTGAAACTTTGGAGAGAGGCACGCCACTAAGAGGATAAATTAGCGCTTCAGGGGGATCTGACTTGACTTCAAAGTTGACCACATGACAACGGGCTTGCCTTTAACACTTCAATATGTAAAGTAGTTCTTCTGAGACATGTTTCAGACTACAGATACAACTTAGGAAACTCCCCTCTAGTGGTGTCCAAAATTGGAAAAGATCTAGGGGTGTTGTTTCTCTATGACTTGAAGTCTTACGCTAACTGTAACAAAAGTGCCTTTCGAGAAAACATTGTACTAGTAAAGTTGAAGGGTACTTTCGGCCAGTTTGACGGAAGAACTTTTCACATAATCTTCAACAGTTTCATTCGTCTCCACATAGAGTACGGAAACATAGTAGTTCATCCCTCACTCTAAAAGTACAGGGACCCTCTAATACATATCTAACAGCGATTCAGGAAATCAGTTCGGGGACTCAAATCCAAAGCCTTCAATCACTGAACCTTTACCCATTAGAGTACAGGCGTCTTGGAGGTGACCTAATGGCTTACAGCATCTTAAATACCTCTGGAAATCCTCTTAAACATCTATTTAAGCTCAATCCTAACACAAACTTCAGGGGTAACACTTAGAAACTGGCGACTCATTACAGCAGAACGGACCGTAGGCACATGTTATACTCCTTGAGAGTAGTGAAATGCTGGAATTCTCTGCCGACTAAGCTAGTCCAAACGACTTCCAAGGAGTCCTTTGAGAGAAAACTTGACATATTTTAAGGTTTAAGGATAATATCTTACTATGATTTACCAACTTTTACTTTTTTCTCTTATTTTATCGTCAATATACCTAGGTTCATACCTGGAGATATCGGCGATCCACTGCTACTAGATACGGAAGCTCCTCAAGCGAATGCTTCTCCTATTCAGTCTAGAAATATATTAACATTGCCTGACTCTACCATTGTGGGGAGTAGTGTAACGTCGTGTACTATATTACACCTACATAGCTTATTCTAGTTTCTGGACAAGTCAATTCACCTATAACGTTATGAGTCATATTTTGACCTTGTTAATTATTCCCCTATTGATCTTGACTATATTTTTATATTAGCGTATGTGTATGCACACTTCTTATCCTACCTATCACATGTCTGTCATTCATTTTAGTCTGACTAGAAATGTTGATTAATGCTTGCTTATAACGAGTTGGCTTACCAGCCATCTCCCATGTATGTTATTTTTTCTTCGCTCGCTAACATTTACTTATGTGCTTATTGCCTTCTAGCCTATGTTATTTGTCAATAAAAATGTAGTTGCCACTTCCCTTTGTCTCCTGATATTATACACCGTTCAGATTGATATAATAACGGTTATCGAGACGATCGATTAACGAAGCACTACACTACACCATATAAAAACCATTTTGATTAGTGAGCTCGGCGTTGTAGTGCCTAGTACTAATGCACACAACTAACTTTAACAGTTCTTACTAACTCCAATAAAATATTACAATGAGTCACTTTTGCATTCATAATAATTCCGTTTTTCGAGAGAAACTATAAACTTCAACATGTGCGCGTCTTGTTTGTATGACTATTTCTACGTTTGTGCTCTTTGTTTATTCATGTGTACGTTTGTTTGTCACTCATTATTTCACACAATCAGTCTCCTAGCAACACTACACATTATTTGCTCAGAGCATGAAATAAGAGTATTCCCAATTCATGCTCGTATTTGGCTTACTTTAGCCCGTTACTCTCAAACTCGAATTAAGTCAATAACTATATATGGTGGTAGTCGGCATTTATTTTTTGTCAACACTACTTAATCCAAACGTATTCAGAACAACATACCCTTACTATGTGATCCAGTACATCAAAAGGCACCCTATGAGTCTGCTCCTGATTCACCATTTATGTATAAATAATAGTAGTGATATCGTTTTCTGTGTTTTTGGAATCTCTTTTTATTTTTACATGTTCCTTAGCCCGCAGTGCTTAAGCACAATCCAAAGCCTATTCATACCAAGACACCAGATCCGCTCATCTCTACAACTCAAGCCATTATGGCTGGACAATGTGGAAGCCAAGTGCTGTGTAGATTTTGGCTCTTACAGTCATGGTATGACCAGTATGCATGCCCATTTTCTGGTATTATCTTTGCCAAGACACGGTAATCGGTTGGTTGACACGCTTTTATTTGTAAGATAACGGGTCTTGGCATTTCACAAAGCCGGATGAGATCGCTCTAGCTCTACAATCTAAGCTGATTTAACAAGTCATCAGAGTTTGAACATCTTCAGGTTTCTCTACACTTTTTAATGATGATAATAATAGCATATTCTCAAATAACAATAAACTACATGAGGCACACCAGTTTACGAGCAAGATCAAATTGTTACGCATGCTTATAGGGGATATAGGGGATACTTTAATTAGTTGCTCAATTAGGTTTTTATGTTTCAAGGCACAGTGATCACAGAAGCAGGGGATACGTTTTCTTACATTAAAACATCAGCGTGTTTGGTCTCAAAGCAATTAGGTTGTTGAAACTAACTATTTTCGCACAACCGTGGGCCTTCCAGGTGCTCCTGACTGAAAGCTAAGTATAATAAACGTGATAAGTAACTAAAGTCGAATGAGGGGAAAACAGATTAATAATCTGTTACATGGATAGACAGAAAAAGTGAATACAAGAGTAGTTTGTCCACTTGGATATACTTCAAATTTTATAATTTCCCCCTTATGACATCCGTTAAGATTGCTGTGGTCACGTTTGCCAGTGAAATATTACAAAGAACATAGATTTAAAGCATAAAAATTGTGATCCCCCTTGGTGTCCAGCTGGTGTTAGAACCAAGTTAAAGGTAATTCGTTTGTGGATCACCATTGTGGTATTCGAAGGGAATACTTGAATCCCTTTGTATTATGGAGAGTGTGAGACAACAAAATATTTTCAGTCTATGATCAAGAGTTGTAAATAGGTTAATATTGTTGCTGGTGAAACCAAAATTTTCGAACTTGTCAGAACAACTTTGGTATAATTTCTTCACTTAGTCTTCATACCTGGCTTATTTGTTCTCTCACACTGAACTCCTGGCTTGATTTTACTGCTGGGTTTATCTCCTTAATTGTAAACACTGGATGTAGGCAATTTTGAAGGTGTTTAATCACTCTTGTTTCCATGAGTTTTTGTGAGGGATAATGATTTCATGGTTTCGCTAACATATATAATGTAAATAAATGCTTAAACTCTGAAACCCTTTTTCATTTGACTTAAACCTGGTTTTTGGTTTCAGGTCTATAAGTCTGAATTTCCGTCTCCCATCTTTGGAGTTAACACAAACTCCTTACATATACCCTCTTAACTGTTCGGATTACGAGCAGGATTTTTGTATGCAGAGAGACTGTGCAGAATTTGTCATATCTGTTAGTTTTGAAAATCGTTTTGAACTCGTTTTGCTACCTGATATTCCTAATTCAAAACCGCGCTATAAAAGCGAGGTGACTGAGCCAACAGGTAGAGTGAGGCTGGTCAAGGAATTACTGTAGCGTGACCTTGAGGTGTGTTACGAACTTCCTTATCAAAAGTCAAGAACTCTTAATGCTTGGCATTTTCGGAAGACATTCCACTCAACATGTCCTGAAATCAGAACACGGTTGAATAGGAACGCGTTGATATTTTAAATAAACAAGGTTAAATGAAGTGGGAATCACGACAAGAAAAACATCGTCAGATTTATGATTTTCAAACAAAAAGATTCTCGAGACTTTTCCGAGCGTGAGGTAGCCAGTCAGCGTGTGCCACTTCAATCCTGCACAGAATATGCCTTAATCCAATCCTAACCCTGTTAACAGTGTGCAATTGGCTGAGTGTCACAGAATTCCTGTTCGACCCCAGAAGGTTAATATCCAGGTCCTTTTCTCTCACACCAGTAAGCTCATTTTAGTTAATTCTACTGGTTGTCTGAAGCGTGTGTATCATGCTTGGTTTAAAGATCTCGTGAAGTATAAGTCATGAAAGCATACGTTTTATCCGTTACATTAATCAAGATCAGACAACACACAACCTTCACTTTCTGAAAAGTTATGTTACCGTATGCGCGCGACTATTTTCAACACTCATTTGGAAAATTACTTCCAACATAACCTTTCTTTTAGTTTAGTCTATATGGTTAGTAAAATGATTCCCAAAATCTCCTTAGGAACCTTCTTGACAGCCTGCTTGAATATCTGAGCTGCATGTTTT